AAACTGGAAAAACCAAACATAATATTACACTTGATTCATGGACAAAAGTCAGAAACAAGTTTAGCCACTTAAATAAGTGCATTAAATTATAATATATATATATATATATATATATATATATATACACACACACACACACACATATACATATATACACACACACACACACATATACATACACACACACACACACACACCTATTCCTTTTATTTCTCATAAATTGCAACAAGATTACAACAAATCTAGAATATAAAATAAATACAAGATTTTAAAAATAACAGTACATAATCATGAGTATTTGGTGTAACGCGAAAGTTTAGAAAAAAAAAAGTTTTTTGTTTTTTTTTTGTTTGTTTTGTTTTTACTTCTTGAGTTTCATTTTATAAGGGACGCTCCAGCTACCAACATAGCTTCACTTCATTTGATCGGTTTTGGCCTGATATTCCTAAACACGTACTTTTCTCTTTGCACTATTTATATGAAAACTAAGAGAGATTTAATCTGTTTTGTGCATCATAACTCTAGCCACACCCTTTTTCTCCACAGTATATGTTCCTGATTAGCCACTGTATCTCCAGGTTTATACACATTTGTATAAAATTCACTTTATTAAACTCAAAAATAAATGTGACCAGACGGGGGTCCCTGAGAATGGGTAGGCACCACAGGGGTCAATGACTCATCGGAAGAGTGACTCCCTGGTAGCAGGAGCCAGTACAGGCAGCGGAACGATTAATTCTTAGCCAGGGTCAACAGTGTTAAAGGATGGATGCCCATCATGTGCCATTATCTGTACTACTTTTCCTCTCACTTCATTTCCTCCCTCCTTTCCACTCATCTTCCTGGTTTCCAAGCTTTCCTCTCTGCTTACCTGGAATGTATTCAACTCACTCACAAGTGATGGTGAATGGTGCTTGATAAACACAATATGACTAGATGCCTACAGCCAAGTAATTTCCCTGTTTTTTATCATGGTGAACTAGGGTGGGCTTAAAGGCCTAAAACAGAATGGCCTTTTTATTGATAATGTCACAATGGATTCTGTTGTTCCATATGTCTTGGTGCATCCTTAGACTGTAGGAGGAATACCATGGCATGTCTTTATTTCTATGTATCCTGTCTCTTCTATGAAACAAATATAAAATTAAGTAGTAGCACATAAATAGGGGGCAAGTTTGGATTGGAGAGTCCCTTTAACGTTTTTCATATGCAGCCAGTGTATGATACTCTAGTTACAATTATGCATAGCTTTAATTACTCTAATAGAACACACAAAGAAAGCTAAAGAACAGTCTGCTGAGCAAATTCTGATACCTGGGCGGGGGTGGGACAGGTTTCTGAACACTGAAGCACAGCCCATGAGCCTGGTTGGGTCCGTGGTAAGGATCCTGTCCCAAAATCACAACCTTTACCTAAATATACACAGATATTTTAGTACAGACAGTTAAAGATTAAACATTTTGTTTTACAACATTTGCTATACACTTCAAATATTTGATAGCCAAAGTCCAAGTTTCTCCAGATGATAGAATAAATAAGAAGTCATGAGACACATATCAGCAGACACCGATCTACTATGTCTACAGATAGTGTTGCTTTACAAAACTGCATCCCTAGTAAGTAAGCAAAGAGGCATGCCATGTCTATTATTTGACTTTTAAAAAAAGTTTCATACTCCTGGCAAAAAGGTATACGGTATATGTGGGTTATCAACAGCTTATTTAATAGCATTTGCTTTTTCTTAAACAAAAATAAATAAATACAACACAAGAGGGCTTTAAAAATTAAATAAAGGGGAAGGTGGAAAAAGGGTTACAGTAACCCTTTAATGTCTGTGATATGTATCCGACGACAAGACTATTACAAGAGAACTGAAGAATGGGAAACGGCATTGGTTTACTCACATTACAAAAGAATTGTTCCAGATCGCCCATATTTCAAGTTAGCACCAAATCCACCCAACAACATAACATACCAGTACAGCACAGATGCATACTACTGCTCACATGCAGGCATAAAGGGACTCCAGCTTAATGTAGTGGTTCTGGTGTCTACAGTGTGGTGTCTAGATCATCAAGATTGATGATCTCAAGCATGGAGGTACCAACAGATGTAGCAAGATCGACGCAACAATGGAAAAAGGCAAATTTAATACTTTTAAAACTCCATTCTGAGGGGAACCAACCATTCACCTAAACAATTACTCCAGAGCTATAGTATTCCTTTAAATTGTCATGAAATTCCTAGTGCGAATAAACATGCATTCTTTAAAACTACTAAGAGGTGTTAATACATAAAATACCAAAAGTGCACAACATACAACAGAAATATTGTCTGTAAAGTTTTCAAATCAAATGATCCTTCATTTATGGAATGTTTTTGGAGTTTCATGTAATTGAGATGGTTGTGACAGATCCTCTGTTTCTGGGTTATAACTCTATCCTCTGGTTCGTCTATTTATTCACCTAAAACCCCTTCCATTCCCTTTCTGCAAAATTGCACTTCGGATGCAGTTGAAGTGTCGAAGTAGTCGAACACTTGGCCACGGCCATCTTATTTAGTCGAACATGTTCAGCTGTGTTTTGTCATTGAGTTCATGGAACGCAAATGGGATACGCAACGGCTAGGTGGAATACACGTGGTGAGAACAATGGGTGGTGGCCATCTTGTCTCCTGAACGCTGCCTGCGGGACTTGGTCGTCGTGTGCCTGGAACTGTTTTCAGCAACCCACTCGCACGAACACCGGTCTCTATGGAACTCTGCTACATTCTCTTTCCCAGCAACTCAGACGAACAGCATTCAGGAGTTTCAAACTGAACACAAGGAGCATTCTCCACGAACCAGATAGACTTCACCTTTTGCGGTTTTCGTATAAAACCTCACGAGCAGAGACCGGCTCTTGCTACATTTCTTCTGGAACGGTTTCCCGGCTTCAACCTTGTGGCAGACCGGACAACTCTCCCTGCGGTGCCGTTCAGTAACTACCGAACGGATTTGGCTGATTTTTTTTATATGTTGTTCCCACAGAGACAACCTACCCAGGGATGTAATTGTTGTGGGGTTCTTGTTTGTTATTCAAGTATTTCCAGAAATTGTGAAAAATGTTATCTCGCTGGCTCAGATTAGGAGTTATGCACTGTATAAATTGAATGCCTGTGTTCTCATTAAACCAGTCTGGTCCCAACATTAAGCTTTGGCTCATGTGTGGGTTATTATGCGACACCAGCAATATTGAAACCTGTGGATTATTGGCGTATTATTTTATGGGAAAAGGGTATGCAAGACAGTGTTACCTATCCTGACCGTCACACTGAGTTCTGTCTCTTATTGTAAGGAGCTGCTCTATCACTACCAGGGATTGCTATACTTGTTATACTCCCTTGGATAATCACTAACTCTTGTAAGAGCTGTTCCTGTTGTGCTCTCTGAAGGAAGAGAGGTTCACCCACTGGAGCCTGGTTGTAGGTCCAGGGTGGGTAAGAGACGGCAAGACCCCAAACAAGCAGCAGCGGTTCATGGAGCCTGCAGTTCTTATGGTGTCAGGAGAAGTGCTTGGAGCCCTCGGTAGCACTAGGAGCATCTGTCGGCGGAGGATCCGTCACAATGGTAATCTGTCTATGTAAAGAGCTTGTGAGGGAGGGATGTAAAGATCAATGTAAGTGCAGTAGAACGAAAGAAATTAAAATGCTAAATATATAGTCATGTTTCTGATTAAAATGTAGTAGCTACCTTATTAAACTATTCCATTATCCTGATTGGTGCTTGTAAAATGCTATAAGAATGCGGTATTCATATCCGGGAACCATATTCCAGGCAATTTTTACAACTTTGTATAAAATGCACTACCATTACTTCAGGTGATTTGCAGTAAATCCAAAAGTCTTCCAGGATTTTGCAAAACAAATTACAAAAATGGAAGTTTGCACTGGAGGTCATGAATGACAACTCGTACAATCATATCAAAATATCTTGATTTTACAGGTCAAACACCATACTTACATCTCTGATATCACTCATCTGTGACCAGGTGAACACCTGATGTGGAGGAGGGTAAACAGTGTATCGCTTCCTCTCTTCCGCAACAAATGCATTCAGCTAGTAAAACAAAAATAGGCTTTTTAAGTGAATACAGCGCTATTAATGCTACATGATCATACTGCTGCACATGGTGCTTATTTTCCTTTAATTTTAAAATGACACTAAGCACCACAACTACTACAGAACTTAGGTTCACAGTACCCAAAGCTGTGCAGCAAAGACAGGCTAGAATTGGGTTGAATGGCATTGGAACAATACAAAAGTGAAGGTTATGTGTTATCTCAGTGGCAAGTGAGGTACTGCATTTTGGGTCTTGAAACAGCTAAATATTTGTGGAACTGCTTAAAAAAATAGGAGGACAGCACTTAAAGACTTCTTGCACCTTATCCACTACAATAAGCGGTGTTGGATATGGTAATTAGCGTAGGATTGGCATCAGAACATCAGGTGCCCTTTGCAAATGTAGTAGCGATGGAATGGCGCCAATTAAAAAATAAATAAATAAGTACTGGTAGTAGCAATATAAAAATAGAAAAACCCTTCCAATAATGGTGAATAGTTGAAAAATAAGTTGACCAATAAATAGAAAAATATCCTAAAGTTTTCTCTCAAGAGAGTTTAGTTCTGCTCCTATCCTTACACTGCTCTCAGATTCTTCAAAAGGAAGCCTCCTATAGGGACACAGGTGATTGTTGACAGTCAATCAGTAGCTCCCCATTCACAAAATGGCTATTTTTTATCAATGAGGACCTACTGATCGGCATCCTTGTCCACAGTCCAAGGTTTCCTATTTAAGAATCTGTCAACAGCGGAAGGACAAAAAGCTTTAATTTATCTATAGAATGGTTTGAATATTACAGAACTATTTGGTTTTTATTTCTTGCAGTTTCAGAATTAATTGTTAAAAGTTGAACACTATCTACTGTGAATATTACCTTTACAAAGTAAGGTTTGGTAAACTCTGCCATCAGCTCCTGTTTCCAGCTCTCCCCTATGCCCTCAGGGATGTTGCGAGCTGCACGTTTCTGTAAGGCTGCTTCTTTATTCCTCTGAATACGATCCAATTGTTCTGGGCTGAGGGGAGGGGACACTATTTCTGGGCAGTTTTCATCACCACCACCAGTGCATTTCTTCTTTTTAACAGGAGTGGTCTGGGGATCATAGGTCATAGAGTACTTGCTAGCAATATAAACTTTACACATACGTTTAACAACCTGCATAGCAGTGACCCGCACATCCCGTATTGCACATAGGACTGACATCGGTCAATTCCCACTTTAGAGCTTGATTTGCTTTAGATTTTCTGCTAAACCACACTGATTTACAGAACAATAGAGCACGACTGGTCACTGTGCCGGGAAAGCTGCAGTAAGTGCATAGTGTTATGAATGAGCCCCATGTGAGCACCTCCTCAAATGTGATAGAACACCTGCACTACACAGGACATTTCCTGGTCACATGACATGCCACGCTGCTTTCCCGCGCCAAAACAGACCTGGAATGCTAGTCCTCGCTCGCTTATTGGCTGCTCACGGACAAACTCCGCCCCTATGTCATGTGGCCCACCATGCCCCAACATTGAGTTTGTGTGATGCTTCCTGCACGTGTTGTATAATAACATGGCTGCAATATGATAGTACATAGGATGACCGCGGGTGACAGTATCGCCTGGACACCAGTACTCCGGTAATTATTAAATACTTGCTTCAAGCTCTAACTCCCCCTTCCCTCATTAGATAGTCTGACTGGCCCTGCCCACTGCAGCCTATAGGGTGGGTTTAACTCATTCATTGGCACAACCCCTTACATAGAAAAGGGTTAATCCTGTGCGCTACACAACGAGCACGCTTAATACTCAAAGAAGCTATGGGAAGATTAAAACTCCCACTGCTGTGTATGAGGGGACCTTCTCACCACAGTGCCAGTGGTTGTGGTGGCTGATTGGTGCTGTAAGAGCCACCAGGGGGTTCCTGGACACATTACTTAAAAAAAATTCCATGTTTAATGTGCTGCATGTTCCCTCAACAATTGGTGACTTGAATTCCCTGCTGTAGAACTAGAACTGGTTACTAATTCTGCCAAACCACACTTATTCTTTTATATCTGTCCCCAACTGTTCTGCGCTAGTCTCGGTTATCCATCAGCAATCCTGTAGTTATAGGCTCCATTCCCATGGTGCTCAGCCAGCCGTTCGTGCTAAGGTTTACTGAGAATGTGGAGCACTCTACACATTCTTTATAATCATTGCCTGTATTATTAAACATTCCAAAAACATACATTGCGCTTATTTACTAAATTAACGTTAATTTGCCTCCATATACATGGCTGCTCATTAATTATCTCACCTCTCCGGGGCACCCTTCCTTGACATCCCATGCCTCTGAAGACGATCTCTTCTTGGACACGGGTCCGAAAAAGTTATTAATAGTCTTCTGTCCGATCATACTGGGAGCCTTGGCCACAGCTGGCTGTCTGGAGCAATCTCTGGCTAGCTTAGAATTTGGCGCCAAATATTGGGAGAGCGCGTACCGGGTGCTAAACGTTTAAAGGGAAGTGCTTGTATAGGCAAATCGCAAGTTTCATTCCAGTGTGCCTGAATTTCTGTTTTACCTGCCATGAAATAAAATCTATTTCAAGAACAAAAGCCACCAAAAATAACATTAAAATCTACAGCTTACCGAGATTTCAATACTTTTAGAAAAACTGGCAGAATTGCTTAGATTTTATTTATTTTTTTTATCATCCCAATTACTTGAAGCCTACATTTTGTAAGCTGGTAACAGAACTCCTGATAATTATGCTATTCAGTGAAAGCACACAATCACACAAAAACAGATGTACGAGACATAATGTCATAGGCATGTGCAGCCAATTCTATAAGGGTGTGCACCCTAAAGCAGAAACACGCCGTGTGTGTGTGTGTGTGTATGTATGTATATGTATGTATATATATATATATATATATATATATATATATATATATATATATATATATATATATAAAAAATGAATAGGCAAGGCACTCCTCCTAAAAATTTTCTTGTAGAGAGTCAAATGCCTAGGTGCAATCCCGCGTCTCAATATACATAAATCAATAAAGGGAGCACACCAGGACTTAAATATGGTGCAAAAAGTATTTACTGTATCCAAAACATGATACAGATTCTGTGTAGAAGAAATCAACGTTGTGTATATATACACACACACAAGGTGCTGTGTGTATGTGTAAGGGTGCTATTAGTGTGTGTGTGTGTGTGTGTGTAAGGGTGTTGTTGTTAGTGTGTGGGTGAGGGTGCTATTATTGTTGTATATGTGTGAGGGTGCTGTGTGTATAAGGGTGTTGTTAGTGTGAGGGTGCTGTTAGTGTGTGTGTGTGAGGGTGCTGTTAGTGTGTGTGTGTGTGAGGGTGCTGTTAGTGTGTGTAAGGGTGTTGTTAGTGTGAGGGTGCTGTTAGTGTGTGCTGTGTGTGTAAGGGTGCTGTTAGTGTGTGCTGTGTGTGTAAGGGTGTTGTTAGTGTGAGGGTGCTGTTAGGGTGTGTGTGTAAGGGTGTTGTTAGTGTGTGCTGTGTCTGTGTGAGGGTGCTGTTAGTGTGTGTGTGTGTGGGTGTGTAAGGGTGATGTATGTGTGTGTGCTGTATGTTTGTGTGTAATGTGTGGGGGCCGTTTAGTTAATATCCCCCCTCCCTTCTTACCTTATGTAGGGAGGGGGGACCGTGCTCCTGCCTTCCCTGGTGGTCCAGTGGAGAGTGAACTCTAGCCCCCTGTGGGGCAAGAGTTCACTCTCGCGAGATCTGAGCGTAACCGCGGCAACGCTCCGACCGCGTGCGAGGAACCCTGCGGAGCTGCTGGCAAGAGCTCCCCGGGTCCTCTCCTGCCTCCCTCCCTACCTGTGGGTCGGTGAGGGAGATCTTTGATCTTTGATCTCCCTCACCGGCCCACGGAGGGAGGCACATAGCGCGTGCCACGGGGATTAGGCTGTGCCTAGGCACCCCCGTGCGCACGCCTATGCATAATGTACATGTAAGGATTTTTTATGAGGGCAAAGAACCAACTACCAGTAAGGGTTGCTAAAGCTGGATCCTCCTAATTACATAGTTACATAGCTGAAAAGAAAATTGCGTCCATCAAGTTCAGCCTTCCTCACATTTGTTTTTTGCTGTTGATCCAAAAGAAGGCAAAAAACCCAGTTTGAAGCACAATTTTGCAACAAGCTAGGAAAAAAATTCCTTCTTGACCCCAGAATGGCAGTCAGATTTATCCTTGGATCAAGCAGTTATTACCCTGGCTACTGAAAGATTATATCCTTTTGAATATTCTGTTTTGCAAGTATGCATCTAGTAGCCAGTTTCGAACATCTGTATGGACTCTGATAAAACCACTTCTTCTGTGGATGAGAATTCCAAATCCTTTGTTGTTCTTACACAGTAAAAAACTTTCCTTGCCTTAGATCTAAATCTTCTTCCAGTCTAAACGCGATGACCTCGCAGGTCCTATGTAAAGTCCGGGTTTGTGCGAATGGACCTGCCCGTCCGCGCCCAACCCCACACGCCAAATGCCACGCCGTTCTGTGCTCCAAATTTGTTAACCTTCTTCATATCTGATATGTTCCATTCTTTTATTAATTTTAGAAATTCGGCCTGCACTTCTAGTGCCATAATATCCTTCTTTAGAACAGGTGCCCAAAATTGCACAGCATATTCAATATGGGGTCTTACCAGTGATTTATAAAGAGGCAAAATTATATTCTCGTCCCGAGAATGAATGCCCTTTTTCATGCATGACAATACCTTACTGGCCTTGGCCACTGCTGATTGACATTGCACATTTTTGCATAGTTTGTTGTCTATAACAATTCCCAAGTCTTTTTCATGTGTTGTTATCCCTAATTCGCTTCCATTATGGGTATACGTTGCTTGTGTATTCTTTACGTCGAAGTGCATAACTTTGCATTTTTCAACATTAAATTTCATCTGCCATTTGAGTGTCCAGTCCCCCAGTCTATCTAAATCCCTCTGCAGCAAAGTAATATCTTCCTCACATTGTATTATTTTACATAGTTTTGTGTCACCTGCAAACACTGAAACATGGCTTTCAATGCTGTCTTCAAGATCATTTATAAACATGTTAAATAGAAGGGGTCCCAGAACAGACCCCTGGGGGACACCACTTGCCACCTCTGTCCAGTTTGAAAATTTACCATTAATGACAACTCTTTGTACTCTGGTTTTTAAGCCAATGTTCTACCCAAGAACAAGCATTTTCATCTAGACCGATTTCCTTGAGTTTGAACACTAATCTATTATGTGGAACTGTATCAAATGCCTTGGCAAAATCCAAATAGATCACATCCACTGCAACACCCTGATCTATACTTCTACTTACTTCTTCATAGAACGCAATCAAGTTAGTTTGACATGACCTGTGCTTCATAAAACCGTGCTGATTTTTTGCTGATAACCATGTTCTTCTCAAGGAATTCTTGAATATTATCCCTTAATAACCTTTCAAATATTTTCCCAGCCACAGAAGTTAAGCTCACAGGTCTATAATTTCCAGGCAAGGATTTTGAACCCTTTTTGAATATAGGAACCACATCTGCCTTCCTTCAATCCTCCGGAACACTTCCTGAAAGAAAAGAATTTTGAAAGATTAAAAACAGAGGTTCACTTATTTCTGCACTTAGTTCCTTAAGTACACATGGATGGATACCGTCAGGCCCTGGAGCTTTGTTTATATTAACTTTTCTTTAGTTGCTGCAGCACCTTGTCTTGAGTTAACCAATTACAATTATTCTGCAAGTTTTTAGTAGCAATCATTTGCACATCTATTGCCATGGGTTCTTCCTTAATATATACGGAGGAGAAAGAGTTATTTAAAATTCCTGCCTTTTCCTGGTCTTCATTAACTAACACCCCCGTTTCAGTTTTTAGTGTACCTACACTTCCCTTTTGAGGTTTTTTTTAGAATTTATGTACTTAAAAAAATGCTTTGGGGTTGCTTTTGCTCTCTTTACCTATCATTTTTTCATTTTGAAGTTTAGCAAATCTAATTGCCTTTTTGCATGCATTATTTGCTTCCTTATATCTTTTATAAGATGCATCTGATTTGTCCGATTTAAATGCCCTTTTCTTATTTTTAATCTCTTGTTTTACTTCTCTACTAAGCCACATTGGTTTTAATTTGTTTCTTCTGTATTTATTTCCCAATGGTACATACTGAGAAATGTACCTTTCTAATATTTGTTGGAAGATAATCCATTTATCCTCAGTGTTCTTTTCACTAAAGAGTTTATGCCAGTCAATATATTATAAAGCTGCCCTTAACTTATTAAAATCAGCCTTTTAAAAATGATATGTTTTAGTATACCCCATGTGCTTTTGTTTTTTTGAGTTTATTTCAAAGGACACTATATTGTGCTCACCTACTTGAATGTTGGTCAAAAGATCAACGTTGTTTGTTAAAACCAGGTCCAGATAAGCGTCCATTCTAGTTGGTGCTTGTACAAGTTGTGACATGAAAGTGTCATTTAACAAGTTTAAAAACCTAATTCTCTTTGCTGAGCTACTAGTCCCTCTATCCCAATTTATGTCCGTGTAATTAAAATCTCCAATAATTAAAGTGTTACCCAGATTTGCAGCTTTCTCAATTTGCTCAAACAGCTGTTGTTCCTCGTCAATATTAACATTAGGTGGTTTATAACATATCCCAACCAATAGTTGGTTTCCCTTCTTTTTCCCCAAGCAGATATTTACCCATAAAGCTTCCACATTTTCCTCATCGCATTCCACTTGCTTAAGATTTGGCTTTAAATCATGGTTGACATACAAACATACCCCACCACCCTTGTTTTTCCTATCCTTCCTAAATAACATGTACCCATTTAAGTTAACTGCCCAGTCATGTGTCTCATTCCACCATGTTTCAGTTATGCCTATTATATCATATTGTTTAGTGTATTCTACTTCCTCTAGTTTCCCCATTTTGTTATTCAGGCTCCTTGAATTAGTAAGTATACGTTTAATATCATGAGTCACTTGTACTTTTTGTGAATTATCAACATTGCATAGCTTCTCTATTCTGAGCTTGCCCCTCCCCCTGTCTCCACCCCCTTATACTGTGCTAAAGCCCATCTCCTTTCTGTCCTATCTCCATTTTGTAGATTGCTATGACCCTCCCACCCTACTAGTTTAAAATCTCCTCCAACCTTATAGCCATCCTATCCCCCAGCACTGCAGACACTCTCCTGTTTAGGTGCAATCCATCACTACTATAAAGGTTGTACCCAATCGCAAAGTCGGCCCAGTGCTCTAAAACCCCCAAACCCTCTTTCCTGCACCAAGACTTAAGCCACGCATTGACCTCTCTAATTTCCCGCTGCCTTTCCACTGTAGCACGTGGTAATATCTTAGAGAATACCACCTTGGAGGTCCTTTTCTTAAGTTTGCTATCTAATTCCCTGAAATCATTCTTTAGGACCTTCCATCTTCCTCTTACTTTGTCCTTGGTACCAACATGGACCATGACTGCTGGGTCATCCCCAGCCCCTCCCAATAATCCATCCACTCAGCAACATGCCGGACCCGAACACCCGGGAGACAGCAAACTATCCGTTTGAGCCGATCAGAGTGGCAGATTTCCCTATCTACTCTCCTAATGATAGAGTTCCCTACCACCACAATCTGTCTTGGCTTCCTTACATTTTGATCCCCACCCGTAGTAGGGGGGCTGTTACCTCGGCTGTTAGAAGTAACAGCTTCCTCTAATACAGCTACTCCTGAGCTGATGCTCCCAACATCTTCACTCAAACGGGCAAATCTGCTAGGTTGCACCAAATCAGGACTAGCTCGCCCTTTCCTCTTTCCCCCCCCCCCACCCCTGCTTCCTCGCCCCACTGTCACCCAGCTACATGCCTGTTCCCCATCTGTCTTATCTCCTCCCTCTCCACTACCTGTCCCCACTAAGTGAGCAGCAGACTCCTCTCAAGATTGTCAATCTCCCTCAAAGTTGCGATTTGCTTCTCGAGATCTCCAATCTGAGCTTCCAGAGAAGCCACTCGCACACAACCGTCACAGAGGTATGGACCCTGGACGGGTACATCCAGTCATCCATACATGCAACAAGATGTGCATTGAGTCAAACCAGCAATCTTGCTAACACTCATTTCCCCAGATACAGAACAATAAAACAATTACCTTGATAGTTTAAACCCCTTGCTTGTTTCAACTCCTGGTTTTCTAACTCCTACTTGAAAGAGTCTACTTAATAGAGTCTGCTTTCAAGTAATGTGAGCAAGCTCTGTGAGTTAGGGATGTGCCTTTATGGGGATACAAATCCCACACAGGTGCAATTAATGAACACTCCCCCAATCAATCAAGCAGCAGCACAAAAGAGGGAGAAAAACTAGAACACAGAAAAAAAATTAAAATAATTAAAAACAAAACGTTTTTTTTTTAATGACAATATTAACGAGCTAAATTTATTGGCATACATTACATGAGGACCACAGAAGGTATTTGCCTTGTGGGGGACGGTGTCATTAATTTGAAGGGTTATTCCAAAGCCAAAAAAGCAAAGTTCTCCAAGCAGCCAGATCCCTTTTTGCCAAAGCCAGACCCTCTTGCTTGAGGGGAATGGATGTCGGGGAGGATGTGGGCAGCATGGAGGGGAGCTGTACCATCATGGGCGGTCTGTCACCAGCATGCTGTGCTTCATGATCATGACAAATGCTAAACATGCACAAAACTGACATTGAAGAGAAAATGATAACTATTTGCTCTGAAACACACAGAAATCCTTTTGTAAAAGTGTTCCCTTGGGACATTTGGCAAGTACTAAAGATACAAAGAAAACGTGTGTAGATCACCAAAGGTGAAAAATAAAATGGTACAACCTGAATAATAATCGTGGAGAAAAAAAGAGAATATAGTGCAATACAATCAGCAAAAGGGGGAAGGTTGGGGGTGGTAGAGAACTCACTGGATGTTTAAAATTCATGGCATGAAAATTCAGGCATGTCTTCCTCAATCATGGGGTACATCCGTTGGTGGAAAAGATCTTCCAAAGAAACAGACTTCTTCATACAGGTATATCTTCTTAAATAGCGCAAAATGAGAAAGTGAAAAGAAAGGATAGTGCAAGTTGTATAAAAGTAACAAATTTATAGATACAAATTGCACTTACAGAATGTCAAATGACAGGGAGCATGTTTCGACACAAATGGTGGTATCCAGGTCTCCAACAAATTGCAGGAAGAAATCCCAGGATCACAGATGCAATAAAAACAAACAGAAATACAAATAAAAACAACATAAAATAATGACATTATTTTATATTTTTTTATTTTTATTTCTGTTTTTTTTTTTGCAATTTGTTGGAGACCTGGATACCACCTTTTGTGTTGAAACATGCTACATCTCTGTTAGGAAAGTTCAGTGTCTCCATTACGGGACTTAGTCTGTGCGGCTGCAAACTCAGTGGAGGAGAAGGTAAGGGTCAGCGGTGTTCATTGAAATGTGTAGCTGATTTTAGTTCCATAGATTTGGCTGCACACACCACTGACCGCGTTGGGAAAATAAAGATGGCTGCCGCCACGTGTTCGTTTGTATGAACGGCGGCCACCCAGCGGTCGGCAATTTACCTACAGCAGGCTCCCAGCCTGAGAGGTAAATTGCGGCACGCTTCCACTTCTGGGTGGTCCGCCTGTATAATACTTGGTTCAGTAAGCCCCATTTACTGAACCAAGTGGGAGAAAGCCAGGAATACAGTATATTAAAGGTTTGGGGACACCGTCTTAAAGGGGCATTGTCCCCAACAAGTCTGGGGACACCGTCTTAAAGGGGCATTGTCCCAAACAAGTCTGGGGACACCGTCTTAAAGGGGCATTGTCCCAAAAAGTCTCAATATGCCCACATACAGTTCTTAAAGCGCCATACACAGTCCAATAAAAGTCCATACGCTCTGCTTAAAGGGCCAGTGTCCAACTACTGTATTTAAAGGGCCAAACCTCCCAGGCACCATAATCACATGGCAAGAGGCTGGCAAGTAGTCCTATCCAGGCACAAGTGGCGATGTTAATTTCGCCACAATTGCAAAAAGCCTGAAGGGAATGATTGTACCCACCAGAACAGATACAATAAGCTGTACTTGTTCTGGTGACTATAGTGTCCCTTTAAGAGAAGTTAAACCTTGGATTAAGGTAAAGTGTTTTTTTTTTTTTTTTTTTTAAAGTTTAGGCTTTGAGTGCTTTAATGTGGGACTATGGAAAAAGTTTGTTTAGGTTTCATGAGGTGTTAAAATTTAGGGTTAGGAAAAATTAGTGTTTATGGTACATGCATTTAGAGTTTAAGGGTTATTTGCAAAGTATTCACCATCCTATGATTAATAGTAGAAGTGCAGGAGCTTTACTATAGTGTACATCACTCAGTGGTGTCCCTTTCTACTCTTGCAAGACATTTCCTGTGTGAAAGGCTGTTATGAAGCAATTGGTAAGGGATCCCTTCGTCTTACTGTTCAAACTCCTACACAGACACTGGGACAGCACTACGTTTTGCACCCTATAGAACTGTTCCTGTAGCTCTGCTATCAAGCTCTCTGGTTAGATTAAAGAGGACATTGGCCAAAGCTCCTGGTACTCCCCTCACCAACCCACCTAAGTTCCTACAAGGCACTAAATTATATGTGCTGTGAATAGGCACCTATACAGGACGGGTGACTACTCTGCCGAATGGAAATTTGGCCCTGGCTCCTCACAAATTACTGGCAGCTCAGCCTGCCCTGAATGCATGCCAATCTGACTGTCAACAATCCAGGCCAGCCCACAGAGGACAGGACAGGTCGAGAGCACTGTTTCACTGCTCTCTGCAGCGTCCTGGTGCTACACCAGGGAACAAGTTGGGTAAAGATGCTAAAATCGTGACTGTTAAAATCGAGGTGGTTGGGAGGCATGCCATTTTGTTATATACCATTAGAAATACAGATGATAAAATTATTGCAAAATGCACTATTTCCAGTTTGTTAGGTTTATCGCTCATTTGGAAAACAACTTAAGTTAAAGGTGTTTATTGTGTGTACATAGATTTGCAGAATAACAATGGGATTATGGTCTTTTTCTTTTTTTCTAAACCACTTTGTTTCTAATGTACATATGCCTACTATTTAACTACAACACTTACTTTACTCCATTTACTGTCATGTAATATAAAAAATAAATAAAAGTTTCTCCCCTCTCACCCCTTTCCTTAGGACCAAAGACAACCCTCCAGGTTTGAGGGCCTTAGCATCAAACACCGGTTTACAGAAGCTCAGAGACTTATACAATGGTGAGTTGGTGGTGTCTTCTGAGAGGCTGAAGAAGAGGGCTTAGTTTTGTTATGGTGTTGTGTGTGTAGTTGCTGTAAACTACACCGCTTACAGGGGGAACTTCCTTTTGTACACCCTGTATAACTTTCTATTGATATCACATTGAGTAAGGTATATACCATAAATACTTGAGTATAAGTCGTAAAGCACTACGGAATCTCTTGGTAATCAATATCTATAAAACATCAGGGGACAAGTCCTAGGGAAAAAAGTGTGGGAACTCACCCAAGATCCACCTCCCCACCCCCCAAAATAAAATTATACACTTGTATGCATATATAAACGCGTGCACACCCACACACTCAGACACTCACAGACATACTCAGACACTCACACATACACAGACGCACACACATACTCAGACACTCACACATACTCAGACACACACACACACACATTCACTCACAGAAACACACAAGTTATTCATATATTTTTTTTAAAATTTACAAATGTCCACCCAGCCTTCCAACCTGGAGAGCTGGCATGGACCTATCCCTGGGCTCCAGTTTGGCTTCAGTGAGTCGGGTGGATGTCTATCTGTCAGACACGGTGAGGGAGCTGTGTTCTTTCTGATCTGCTCCCTCGCGCCGATGCGGGCTGTCTACTGATGCCGAGAGCCGGACTATGACGGCATCAGCAAATGGCGTGCGGGGGAGCATATCAGAGAGAACACACCACCTTCACCTCCTGGCCCCCTCCCCCCATGACTGGGAGAACACGGGGCATTTGGGGGCGGCATTTTTTGCCGGCCCCTGGTTAGTGCCCGCAGGAGCAACGGAACGGCATTCCTGCTGTGAACAAAATGCGGGAACACCGTTCCTGCAGGACTCGAGCCCTGTAAAACACTCTGTATATGATTATTAAAGAGGGGCACATAATTTCCCATCTCTCTTCCTCTACCTCAAAACCCTTCCTTGCTCTCCTTTATATTTCCTTTCTAGCATGTTCTTCCCTGCTTCACCCATTCTACTTTTCCTCCTTTGCATGTTGATTTTTATCTTTTCTCCTGGGTTTTATGGTTTATTACTCTGATAAAAAACATCAAAGGATGTGCATGCATGTTTCGTTGACTGACTGTGTGGCTCAGGACTCTTGTGTTTTATAGCTTTTGTATTGAATATAATATTCTTCTCTAATGTCCTGATTCATTCTTTTTGTGAATGCCCACTGTTGCCCTAATAAAAAAATATGAAAAAGTACACGTTTTGGCATTATCAGTGTTATTCACTATAGTGTTTTGTTTTTCCCTTACAGACAATGGACAGATTTTTAATTAAAAACTCAAGTACTAGAAAACATCCGCTTCTTGTAGAATGTACAGATACTGTAACATTACCAGAGAAAGCTAAATTAAGGAAGAATGAAGATGACAGTTTGCTGGCGGAGCATTTAACATGGAAGGAAATTCGAGCAGAGGGTCTGAGCTGTGATTATACACTGCTATACAGCAAGACTGAAGCAGATGTGATCTTCCAACAACTAGAAAGGGAAATCACATATTTTCCAGGTATGCTTTCACCTTAAAGGGACACTATAGGTATCAAAACAACTTTAGCTTAATGAAGCAGTTTGGGTGTATATCATGTCCCTGCAGTCTCACTGCTGAATTATCTGCCATTGTCTTGGCAGTTTAGAAATTTAAAGTCTCTAACTCACAAACAGTTTGATAAATGAACCAATTGTAGGAGACTAGTTCAATGATCTATGTCAACAGGATGTTGTAACACAGAATAGTGTCTATTCCCTAAGTGTGAAGCAATGGCTCTACTTTGGATGGTTCTAGTTTTATCAAGAAGCTTCCATTAGTTTTCTTAACTAAGCCCATTGGCGAAGGACCAGCACTTTAGCTAAGAGTGTCAGCTCATCACTCTCAGCTGTTGAGCTAAGCTTTGCACCACTGGGCTTAGCTCAGAGAGAGACATTGTCTGGCACTATGTATTTTGTAGGGGAGATGAAGAGCGGCACTGTGGACACAAAGTAAGAAATAAAACCTTTCTAAAATGTTTTCACTACTGACATTGGTGAAGGTAGTGGGGGTGGGGGGGGCGGTAGGGAGGACACTTATGGCACCACTACAGCACACTCTATTGGTTATGGTGCTTTGAGTGTTCCTTTAATTACTTCATATCCCTCCAGATGATGAAAGGTGGGTTATCTACCACACTATAGATGGAGCTTCTTTGTTCTTTTTTTCTATTTCTCTGAAACAAATATGCCAGTAATGTTCCTCTTTTTTTTATTTTAGAGGATTTGAGTAGAGTCCAGGTATATGGAAAATGGCACAATGTTCCTCGAAAGCAGGTAACTTATGGAGATGATGGATTAAGCTATAAGTTTTCGGGTATCACCTTGTCCCCTAAACCGTGGATTCCTCTACTTAATTCAATCAGAGACAGAGTGGAGCTTGCTACTGGACACACCTTTAACTTTGTTCTCATTAACAGGTAGTTTTATTTGCTTTAAATAATACCTCCCAATATTGTGCATATGAAAGTGGATGAGGCGAGATACTGCCCAAAAGGAGCGTGTGGAGGTGTCATCCTGGTATGTTGGTGTCACTGGAGCCTAGCACCCTTTTGTTGGTTTTGAATAGTGTATGTGGGACTCTTTGAGGGAGTAGCACTTTAAGTGGCAGCATATACTGGTGTTATTAGTCGATTTTTTTTTTTGATTTTTTTTTTTTTTTGATTTTTTTTTTTTAATGTGGCTCCAAAATCAGAGCTTTTTTGCCAAATCAAGGACAGTTCAGGTGGTGTTTCAAAACGTTTGTTCCCTTTGCAAGTCTTACCATTTTGGGTGCAAAAAAAGAGTATCTAATGCACACTGAGTGTCTCTTTGAACTATTCTGTCCTGTCAGGATCATTTTAATACTATCCTTGTGGTTACACAGGATTTTCTAAGCTTGGTAACTCCCACTGTATGACAATCCAATTCACCAGCTACATACTGTTTCACAGATGTACAGCAAAAAAGTATTCTAATGTTTTTAAACAGATTCAGCATCAATTTATAAAAAACATTAAAATAGCGCTTTAAAGTGTTTCAGTCAATACATATATTAAAAGTGCTCAATACTAACAAAGGTGTTTAAACCTATTAGTAATGAACATTTTTGATACATGCATTGTCTGAAACACTTTTAACACTTTGAAATGGAGGTGAGACTTTAAAGCGCTACAATATTTAAATTTTTTATATATTGGGAAGCTTATTGAATTTGATTTTATCTACATTTAGCACTACTAGGAATCTAAACACCATGATATACCTATTCATTTTTTTTATTATTCATCATCATTTGCCTAAACTTTACTTTGTGTTTTATTGATATTTAAAGAAGTAGTATTTAATTATCTTGCAAGGTACAAGGATGGAAATGACCACATTGGTGAACACAGAGATGATGAAAAAGATCTTGTCCCACACAGTCCTATCGCTTCAGTATCTTTTGGAGCCTGTAGAGATTTCATTTTTCGGCATAGGGATGCCCGTTGCAAGAATCCAACACGTCAGATTGAGTCTCAGAAATTGGAACTGGCTAACGGCAGCTTACTTATGATGAACTTTCCCACAAATGTCTATTGGTATCATAGCCTTCCAGTGAGAAAGAAAGTGCTAGCCCCCAGAGTCAACTTAACCTTCCGAAAGATTATCCCAAATTGTGAAAGAAAAAATACTCCTTGAAACATTATCCACAATTGTAATGATGTTTGATAAAGTAAATGTTGAGTGACAGTTTGGAACCCAAAACATTTAGACTTGTGAATTGTAGCCAACCTTAAAATTTATGTTTTTCTATGTGTATTCAATTAAAACCAATATACATGTGTAATTTATTTTTATTTTATTAAAAATAGATTTAGATGTTTCTGTGCTGTCCAGAATTGAGAGAACTTAAATATGTAAATGCTTAACCTGCTCCAAACCCCTACATTGCAGAGTTGATTTAATTAACAAAACAAGCATTTATTTGAAAGTATGGATGCATTGTTAGCACATATATTTAAGAAAAATAAAATGTAATCTAAAAGGTGCAACAAAAATTAATACCTGGAGGTGGGTCCTGACTGCCTACTAAGTCACATGTAGAAGCTGCTCCTCAGAAAACAGACTTTAAGCATATACATTGAGATTCCTTGCTATTTTCATCACAATACTTGCTCTACTCACCTGAGGAAGCCCCTGCAGACCTTCTGATCTAAATATTTATCGGCAATGCCAAGTGCTCCCAACATTTGTGCAATTTGAGGCCTGCGAGCATATTTGAGGTGGAGGAGATGGCGGCTCCCCTGCCTCCCATGCCCTCGAGACTGGTAGGGGTTATCCCGGGCCCCACTGGCCCCACTGGCGAAAGAAAAATGAATATGGTTCACATTAACCTCACAGTCCACTGAATAATTCAGCCAACTTCGGTAATTAGATAATCGCTCATAGATGGAAACACAGTCCCTGTAAAATGTCCATTCCAGCAGCCCCAAAAGCCTGCACATAACGGCAGTTGATCCGGCTGCTATCCGCACCAAAATTAATTTTTCTTAAGGATCCATTTGTATGTGCTTGTTGGTGCCTTTCAAGGGCCCCCTGAGGTTGTGAGCTATACAAAAGGAGTTCATCATAGACTCTCTGTCCAGGTTTGGGGTAACAGACTTGGAATGTGTTTGGTTGCTTCTTAGTTGTCGGCTTGCCATTCGCTTCTTGGAGCTCAGGTAAGACACTATCGGTGTGCAAGCACAGTTTAACCCAAAATTGCAGGCAAAGCTGGTCAAAAGCATGTATTAGCGGAACTACAGGAGAGGATGGCACCACAGGCAAAGGCTTTGCAGAAAGCCACATGGTGGTTGCCATCTTAAAAGTAAGCTCTTGTGCGACTAGAAGAGCTGGACAACAAGAGTCTCTTTGTGGGAGTCTCTTTTGCTCCCACAAAGAGACTCTTGTTGTCCAGCTCTTCTAGTCGCACAAGAGCTTACTTTTAAGATGGCAACCACCATGTGGCTTTCTGCAAAGCCTTTGCCTGTGGTGCCATCCTCTCCTGTAGTTCCGCTAATACATGCTTTTGACCAGCTTTGCCTGCAATTTTGGGTTAAACTGTGCTTGCACACCGATAGTGTCTTACCTGAGCTCCAAGAAGCGAATGGCAAGCCGACAACTAAGAAGCAACCAAACACATTCCAAGTCTGTTACCCCAAACCTGGACAGAGAGTCTATGATGAACTCCTTTTGTATAGCTCACAACCTCAGGGGGCCCTTGAAAGGCACCAACAAGCACATACAAATGGATCCTTAAGAAAAATTAATTTTGGTGCGGATAGCAGCCGGATCAACTGCCGTTATGTGCAGGCTTTTGGGGCTGCTGGAATGGACATTTTACAGGGACTGTGTTTCCATCTATGAGCGATTATCTAATTACCGAAGTTGGCTGAATTATTCAGTGGACTGTGAGTTTAATGTGAACCATATTCATTTTTCTTTCGCTAATTACCAATTGTACTTTGATTTTCCATGTTGGTGTATTTTCCTCACTAGATAGATAAGTATATTACCTAAAATAAATTTTAAAAAAGTATAATGGCACGTATTAAAGCAAGTAGATTTGTAAATAAATAACATTTCTCGATATGCAAGACTTTTTTCCATACAGTCTCTAGACCTCTCACATGTACATTATCCCATACGCATTTAGCTCTGCAACCCATACATATTGCATATGTTGCCACATTATCCTCACATTCAAGCCATGTTGCTTCTTTTGACACACACACAATCACAGTGTTACCTGTACGTGTATGTAACAATGCCCAAGAGTGTTGTCTGGAAGCGAGTATCCTTGTGAGTCTGTGAGTGTATATCTGTGTGTTTGTGTATGAGAGAATGTGTATTGGAGTGGGGCTGCTTGTAGTTTTTATGTGTGCATTGTGTTTATGGCGAGAATGTGCTCTGTGTGTGAGGGGTTCTAGACAGTTTGACAGTGTTGGAGGTGACTGTGATTGACAGAGTGGGTAGATTGTGTGTGGGGAGGCTGTATTTTTTTGTCCAGCCTTCCAACTTGATGTTTTTTTTTTTCCTGTGCTCCCCTTCAGATGACTTTTTTGCAGTGATGGGGGTTCCAACATTCAATAGCTGGTGGTTCCAGTCTCTGATTGGGAGGTAGCATCCACAGAGAGCTGCTCTCAGCCAGAGGTGGAGCAGACAGCAACCGCCGGGCCATGCAGGGAGATCTGTGCAACCCCGGTGGGCTCAGCAGAGCTGGCGCTAGAATGGTAGAGCCGACTGCTGTCTCAGCAACTATTGCAAATCCTGCTTTTTTTTTTTTTCATGACTGGGAAATATTTATACATGGCAAAATGAGCAGTGTCAGAAAAGACAAATTCGATAATCCCAATGGTTTATACAGCTGAGACATGACAGCAATAATGTAAGTAACAGATCATAGAATAGATCAAGAAACACCCTTACATAAGCATAGTTTGCACGTGCTCCACAGGAAGACTAAAGGAAGAGTGGGAGGGGAACGGAGGTGGATGCCACTGCAGATACAAGAAAAACACTTAAATAAATAAAGACTCAATAAAAGAAAACAAATCTCCTGATTGGAAAAATTATCCCACAGTGATGTAGCAGGGGCAAGATCTATAAACCAACACTGCTTCATTAAAGGGACACTATAGGCACCCAGACCACTTCAGCTCATTGAAGTGGTCTGGGTGCATTGTCTTTTTTGCACTTAGTGCTGCAATGTTAAACATTGCAGTTCCAAAGAAACTGCAATGTTTACATTGCAGCTCTAAGTCTGCCCTCGGTGGCTGTCTACGAGACAGCCAATAGAGGGCTTCCTGATTTGAAACAGACCTTTGGTCCGGTATCTGACACTGGACTTCCTAACGCTCTGCATGAGGACACCCAGCGTCAGATTTTTTCCCATAAGAAAGCATTGAAAAAAAAACATAGGAAAAAAATGAGTAAATAATGGGGTTTTAACCCTTCATTCATCCGGGCAGGGACGGCAAGGGCAGAGGGAGCTATGGTGCCAGGAATACAGCTTTGTATTCCTGGCACTATAGTATCCCTTTAAGCTAAAAGTTACTTTAGTGCTTACAGTGTCCCTTTAAGCACTGTACATTACTGTGAGTTTTATTGCTATGAAGCTCTGCGATACACTCAATTATAGTATATGACCTTGAATATTATGGTCGTGGAACTCTGTCACTCACTTATGCTCAACACATATTAGTGTAAATTGTGTTAAACCAATTAAAAAAAGAGTAAGCAGGATTTTGTTTGCTGACTTTGGAGCAGCAGAGAGGATAAATACAGGGAGTGCAGAATTATTAGGCAAGTTGTATTTTTGAGGATTAATTTTATTATTGAACAACAACCATGTTCTCAATGAACCCAAAAAACTCATTAATATCAAAGCTGAATATTTTTGGAAGTAGTTTTTAGTTTGTTTTTAGTTATAGCTATGTTAGGGGGATATCTGTGTGTGCAGGTGACTATTACTGTGCATAATTATTAGGTAACTTAACAAAAAACAAATATATACCCATTTCAATTATTTATTATTACCAGTGAAACCAATATAACATCTCAACATTCACAAATATACATTTCTGACATTCAAAAACAAAACAAAACAAATCAGTGACCAATATAGCCACCTTTCTTTGCAAGGACACTCAAAAGCCTGCCATCCATGGATTCTGTCAGTGTTTTGATCTGTTCACCATCAACATTGCGTGCAGCAGCAACCACAGCCTCCCAGACACTGTTCAGAGAGGTGTACTGTTTTCCCTCCTTGTAAATCTCACATTTGATGATGGACCACAGGTTCTCAATGGGGTTCAGATCAGGTGAACAAGGAGGCCATGTCATTAGATTTTCTTCTTTTATACCCTTTCTTGCCAGCCACGCTGTGGAGTACTTGGACGCGTGTGATGGAGCATTGTCCTGCATGAAAATCATGTTTTTCTTGAAGGATGCAGACTTCTTCCTGTACCACTGCTTGAAGAAGGTGTCTTCCAGGAACTGGCAGTAGGACTGGGAGTTGAGCTTGACTCCATCCTCAACCCGAAAAGGCCCCACAAGCTCATCTTTGATGATACCAGCCCAAACCAGTACTCCACCTCCACCTTGCTGGCGTCTGAGTCGGACTGGAGCTCTCTGCCCTTTACCAATCCAGCCACGGGCCCATCCATCTGGCCCATCAAGACTCACTCTCATTTCATCAGTCCATAAAACCTTAGAAAAATCAGTCTTGAGATATTTCTTGGCCCAGTCTTGACGTTTCAGCTTGTGTGTCTTGTTCAGTGGTGGTCGTCTTTCAGCCTTTCTTACCTTGGCCATGTCTCTGAGTATTGCACACCTTGTGCTTTTGGGCACTCAGTGATGTTGCAGCTCTGAAATATGGCCAAACTGGTGGCAAGTGGCATCGTGGCAGCTGCACGCTTGACTTTTCTCAGTTCATGGGCAGTTATTTTGCGCCTTGGTTTTTCCACACGCTTCTTGCAACCCTGTTGACTATTTTGAATGAAACGCTTGATTGTTCGATGATCACGCTTCAGAAGCTTTGCAATTTTAAGAGTGCTGCATCCCTCTGCAAGATATCTCACTATTTTTGACTTTTCTGAGCCTGTCAAGTCCTTCTTTTGACCCATTTTGCCAAAGGAAAGGAAGTTGCCTAATAATTATGCACACCTGATATAGGGTGTTGATGTCATTAGACCACACCCCTTCTCATTACAGAGATGCACATCACCTAATATGCTTAATTGGTAGTAGGCTTTCAAGCCTATACAGCTTGGAGTAAGACAACATGCATAAAGAGGATGATGTGGTCAAAATACTCATTTGCCTAATAATTCTGCACTCCCTGTATAGACCTGGATGATTGGGTGATGTTAATAATAAAGGCTTCAGATTCTTTATTGATACTTTTAATTTACCACAACTAGAGATTTGTTTGGTTTTTTTGCTCCTCTTTGGTTTATCCTTCAGTGGGTCAGATAGATCTAGGGCAGGGGTTCCCAACCCTTTGACATAGTGTATTAACATAGTTGAACACCACAGATACACACACCTTGACAGAGAGAGAGGGAGAGTGTGGGTATCTGTTTGTATGTGCCTGTATGTGTATCTGATACACACTGACACACACACATCTTGACTCACAAATATACACAGTGACATATACACACACTTGCACCCACAGATACACACTTGCACCCACAGATACACACTGGCACATACACGCAGTGACACATACACAAACCTTGACACACAATGATACTCAGACACACATACTCTTTGACAGACACATGTACACTCTCACTGACAAACACACTCTTTGACAGACCCACAAATACATACAAACTCCCTAACAGACACACATACAATTTATTTTTGTATTTTACTCCACCCAGCCCCCCTACCTTTGTGCTGGCATGGAATCTCTATATCTCTGGGCTGAGCCTGGGGTCCAGTGGGGCGGGTGGGCTGATCGTGCGGTCCCTGGGGTCTAGTGGGCTGCTGGGCTCAGCGTGCGGTCCCTGAGGTCCAGTGGGGCTGCTGGGCTGAGCGTGCGGTCCCTGGGGTCCAGTGGAGCGGCTGGCGTGTGCGCGGCGAGGGAGCAGTGATCTCCCAGCTCAGCTCCCTCGTGCGCCTCTTAGTGATTCCGGCTCCAGCATCACTGCTGAGCGCGTGAGGTAGCTGAGCAGGGAGATCACTGCCCATTGCTCCCTCGCGACCCGCGGCCTTTTTATTTTTAAAATTTTTGGCAGAACACAAATTGTGTTCTCGCAGAACACAAATTGGGAAACACTGATCAAGGGAATCTTATTTGGGAATGATGCCTGGCTCCTGCATATTGTCCAATAACTCCTTTTCTGGTGTCATTTTGGACTAGAAGATAATTTACCTAACCTAGAGGAATACATTCTTTTTAGGACACCTCATAAGCAATTCTCAGATGATACGCTTACAAACTAAGTATCCAAACCCGGTATGTAAATGAATGGTGGTCTTAGGACACTAATCCACACTCTTATGTTGTCACACACCAACATAGTATCACTTTAAAGTGGCACTATCACCATTTGAGAACTTTGCAAAATCCACAAAGTTCCCCAATGGTGGCATCACCGCTGATGGTCAGGTGGCCAAGGTAGGCAGGTAAAGGTCGCCGCCATCTTGATCCGACAGGGTCCTCTTCGGTGATGACATTACTGCTGTACTCCACACAGCCAATTTCCTGCATCCATCACTGTTGACCGCTGTTGGGATTGATTCTATAGTGCTGCCTTGTGTGAAAGAAAGTTGGGGGAGGAGAAATACAGAGACAAAGTAGTCCCTATTTTTCAAAGGTGGTGGGTGACAGTGCCACTTTAAAAGAGAACGGTTACTTCTATAGAATTTCCACTATTGAAAATCACCAATAACTTATGTTAACGTTTTTCATGAGATGCTTCTTTTTCTTCTAAATTCATAATAAAAGGAACAATCCAGGGATTCATAATTACAAAAAAATCACTGCAGTGGTTATGGTGGCAGGTGTGCCCTTGCACCACTCCCATTGTAAAGAGTCAAATCAATTTGAATGCATTGCAGAGCTTGGTTTAGGGAAGCTAACTGAATCTCATGCAGAGGAACTCTATTTATCTAGCCCTTATAGTATGGAAATGAGCAGTGAGTGGCAGATCCCATGTAAAAAGTAATTTGGTTTCCAGTTTGGTATGGTTTGACATCTTACAAGATGGACAGGGAGGGGGGCACACTCCTGGCACCATAACCACTACAGCGAGTGGTAGGAGTGCATGGTGTCCCTTTAAAGAAAAATAATCCAGTTCAGCCAAAGCAAACATTGCAGACAAGAGGAGAAATAGAAATGATGTTTCTCTTCCCTTATATGTGTGCTGACTGTCATGTGAAAAGGTCCATTTATAACAATGATTGGCAAGGAGCCAAGATGCAGGTTACCAATTGTGGAATAAATAGGTGAATTCAATATTTTATTTTTCACACCTCACAAATTAAGTGATTTTGGTGCCCTTTGATGTAACAGTTACAGTATTTATGAATAACCCCACTTACACGTAAGTAAATAACTATTTTCAGTGCTTCTCCTGACTAAAGGGACACTAAGCACCAAAACAACATTAGCTTAAAGGGACACTATAGTCACCAGAACAACTACAGCTTATTGTATTTGTTCTGAAGAGTACAATCGTTCCCTTCAGGCTTTTTGCAGTAAACCCTGCCTTTTTTTCTTTTTTTTTTGAGAGGAAAAATTCAATGTTTACATTAAAGCCTAGTAATACCTCCGCAGGCCACTCATCATGGAGACACTAAAAACTTTCCCCATAGAGATGTATTGATTCAATGCATTTCTATGAGGAGATGCTGATTGGCCAGGGCTGTGTTTGGTTATGCTGCCTCTGTCCCTGACACTCTCAACCAATCTAATGTGAAAGCATTGTGATTGGCTCAGAGAATCACTACTGATGTCAACCAAGCAGTCAGATCAGGGGCAGAGGCAGCAGCTGCAGACTTGAATAAAAGTAAGTTTTTACTATATTTAGGGAGGCAAGGAGGAGCCAGGGGGGCAAGGTGGTGGTTTTAACACTATAGGGTCAAGAATACATGTTTATTCCTGCCATTTCAGAGTTAAATCACTTTTGTGTTTTTTTGTTAATAAGAATTTTATTGGTCACTGTGCATAAAGTGAACACAACTGCGGGATACACAAGCGTCCACAATGAAACCATTTTTCATAAATTACATTTGAGATCAGACAACGACGCAGGGCTGAGTAGGCATAGGATGTAAACAAGGACGCCAAGGTCCGCAATCCAATTACATAGCATATTGTACAAATTAAGCGCTCTTATATAACTTAAAGTGGTGCAACATCACTTTTGATTTTGTGTATGCAGCCTTGGCCACACCTCCCCGGCTGTGACTCACATATCCTCCCTACACACTTCCTTAAACAGAGTGTGTATATTTTTAGCTTCCTTTATTGCAGTGTATTTAATTTAGAAGATTTAATTTCCTGCGTGAAAGAAATCAAATGGTTTCAGAATGGTTTGACTTCTTAACTGGGGTTTATAGATCTCTCTTCCACAACATCAACCAGACTGCTGGAAGGTTTCAATTAAGTGGCAGTATAAAACTTGGCTTAAAGGACCACTATAGTGCCAGGAAAACATACTCTTTTTCCTTGCTCTAAAGGGTCTCTAGGTCGTCGTCCCCAGGCTGAGGGGCCCACTCCCGCCGGGCTCTAGGATGAGGAAGGGGTTAAACACATACCTTTTATCCACCGCTAGGCTCCCTCGGCAGTGGGGACTCTACGCCTCCTTTCCCCGTCATCGGCTGAATGGACGCTGGCATCTTCTCACTGTGAAAAGCAATGAGACAGCCACTAGAGGCTGGATTAACCCATATGTAAACATAGCAGTTTCTCTGAAACTGCTATGTTTAGAGCAGAAAGGGTTAATCCTAGATGGACCTGGCACCCAGACCACTTCATTAAGCTGAAGTGGTCTGGGTGCCTATAGTGGTCTTTTAAGTGCAGAGGTCAATCAGTTGACTGTCTCAGCCAATAAGCTGGCCCTCTATTTCTAGGCTTGGTCGAGGAGAGCCAACAGAAGCTCTTAAACAGAGCTTCTGGCTCTCTATAGCGGAGGTAATGAAAGTGTAGAGCTGTGCCCAGTGGACACCAGGTAAGAAGTCAAACCATTCAAAAATAGTTTAATATAAGGGTGCGCCAGAAAATGTTAAATAAAACTGTAGTTATAAATTTTAGAATGTTTAATTTTCAGTAATATTAAAAACAAAATAAATATGGACTTTCAACCTGATTGCCAGAAGTTATGTCTTGAAAGTATCATTGTAAATTTTATTTTACACTGTTACACCACAGCCAAGTGTTTATTCTGCTATCGTGATAAAGACCCTGAGGAATGCTTCACAAAATAAATATCTAGCAAATCACTATACTGCACCTTGCTCACATGTTACAAGTAATTAAAATGTTACTTATGACTGTAATTGTACAACCATTCCCAGTCGCATACCAGATGTTGCACTGACCGACTCACTAACTTACATAAGTCATACGACCATATACCTCTTGTATCTGTATTTGAAATTGTTTGACTGATCTTTGTCTATGAAACAAAAAAAAGTAAGAAACCAATAAAAATTATACATTGGAAATAAAAATAATGACCATTTCCCTTTAAGACATTTTCTGACTTGGGCTGCATTACCAGCAGAAAAATGAAATGGTTTGTGAAATTTGGATTGTAATTGCTTTGATACAAGTAACAGCCCAAAGTAAAAAAAAAAAAATGCTCGTGGCCAATTTTACCAATTTTAGATATTGTATATACTTAGTCATCTCTTGGGGGTCATGTCACCTTTTATCATTTTATGCCTATTCCCTCATAGACAATTCATAATGTGATTAATCCCATCAGGTGCATGCTTAAAGTGTTTTCACGAGCAGACGGCTTCTGGACAACACATTCAACCTTTCTGTAGCAAGTGTGTGAATATGCAAACATAACTACGGAATTACATTTTGTTGTTTCTGTAATAAAACTAATATTTACAACTGCTTTCAACTATAATTAACCAACAATCAACAAAACATCTTTATTACCATTGGTATACATCATATTAAAACGAATAAATCAAAGTACATCTAATTAAATATAATTTTCCAGATATTAATAAATATATCTCTTATATACATTTATATACAAGAAAAAGGTTTCAGACAGCATAAAAAAAACAACTTTTTTTTTGTGGCACATTTGTCAGAGTTGAAACAGAGCATGAAAGAGCATGTGGTCCAAACACATTTTAGAAGCATTGTCTTCAGAAGACTTGACATTCTCCAGTGGATTTTTAGACAGATTACTTCCCAGCGAACACAGAAGCTTCTTGAAGTGTATAGGTGCACTGTTTGCACAGTATGCAAAATATTTATTTTTCTTCTTAATCTGTATTCAGCCTGTGTTTGTTTAATATCTGAGTGGAGCAAAACTGGGTCTTGTAATATAAATATATATATTGCCCACTTTGCCCTTAAAATGGTTTAGTTTCCCCATTGGCAGTAATTCATTGGTGTATTCATACATCAACAGGTGTATGGCTGGACCAAATCTTTGGTACTATTTTTTGCAAACACGCCCCCAACCCCACACAAGACATAATTCATTTGTTATTCCTGTTTTAAGTGTTAAATACAAAATCACAGGTAAATCACAGGTGGACAGAGAGATAGACGTTGTAAACCATACTAATTATTACGATAAATATTTTGATAACATGAAAAATAAAGGCAAACATGAATGTACCCTATTGTTCGAAACAAATGCTATGTTCTATATTCAGATGTAAACAATTTTAGCATGACTAATAAATGCTTGTTCTTTGCAGACAGACACACATGAAATCACTACCATTTTCCTGCTTTAAAAGTTTTTTTCTATGACATCCCAGCCATCGTCAACTTCTGTACTTACTATTCGGAAAAGAATTCTTGCCCTGGGCAGTGCAGCTTGGACCTGACCCGTTCATAGAAGAGCAAATAAGCACTAGAGGAGAGGACCTCCTGCAGGTTGGCTTTTCGCACAGTATCATCTGAAATCCATAGCCACTGCTGGCTAGGCGGCTTTGAGGACCTAACTGCAGGAGGGGAGCGTCTGTAAGTTACAAAATGTCCAGAGTGCATGTCACCGTGGTGAACTATGACCGCCATAAGACGGAAGAGATAGGTGGGGGAGCTGAAAAACATTAAGTTATAATATTTAATTAAATAGATCTAGCAGTTTATGAGCACTATTAGCCTTGGTATAAAGCAGAGAACTCCTAATTACAGGTGGAGTAAATAACTACTTCCCTTTATCCTCACAGCTCCTAATGTGGCTGCTCTCACTAAAACAGATTGTGTGGATTTCCAATACAAATAAGCCATTTTGATCTTTTAATAACATTAAGAAGGTTTTATAAGACTACTGAAATGTAAACTGTGGAATTTGACTGGTTCGTTATAAAAACATACAGAAAAAAAAAAAAGTGATATTTACTTCTAAATTATATATATATAATATATATTCCATGTAGCATATCTAATGGTGAGCATTATAACCACTATACCAAGCTTCAGTGTGTTTTTATATTATGTACATAGAAATTCACTATTCCCCCTTCCCCTCCATACACGCTATCTGAATATTTCCAATTAGTAACAGGATTTAACACCAGAATATGCATTCTTTAGTTAAGGGCTTTACAGCCTTTCCATAGAATTAGTGGAGGACACTGCTGCACACATAGGTGTTACATTATGTTATTCTGGGCTGATATATGAATTCATGTATTAGCAGTACTGCAAAACAAAAAACAAACAAACAGCATGTAGAGAGGCAATTTGATGCTTTTTTATTTATTTATTTATTTTATTGCCGCTTTACTGTTGCAGCAGCTGCCAATATCTGTAATGCATATATTTTGTAACTGTAATAATAATTGTAATTGATGCCTCAATGATGTTGATTTTTAGGATCCTAAACAAACTTACGTGCATTCAGAAAATGGTGCCAGTGGATTTGTGAACTCATGTGAAAGTAATGAGGAAGAACAGGCTCCATTTAGGAATTGAGACTTGGGAGTGTGAAGACCATCAGAAACTGTGAAAAGTGACAAAGACTGGTAAAAACAAATCAGCATTATTAACTACACAAACACATGTTGTGTATTTTGTCTTACTAACATGTATTGCTGACAAGTAACAACTTTAGTTCTCACTTATGTGAAACAATATTGGAGTATTTCACTAAACGATTACGGGTGGAGAAATAATAAAAAGGGAAGTGGAAATTGCAGAACAAAAATAGCCAACTCAATATTTTTCACCTCACAATATTCTAACCTAAATTTAGTCATTTCTGTCCAATGCTTCACAAACCTTAGTTTAGTGAATAAGCCTATATGCATTTGACAAAGGGGAGAGAGAATATATATATATATATATATATATATATATATATATATATAAATAAAGGTAGAGCCTGTAGTTGTGGGAAGGGTTACCCAAGGTCGTCAACATACCAGGCTGTCACAACAGACGAAACGGTCTCTCATACACAATTTCAGGTACTCTTCCGATCAGCCCACAGCTACCAATCAACCTACTAAAACTCCAACATTTCAGCACCTCATACCGTATTAGCTCATCACATGACCACAGTAGTTTGCTGGCACAAGCAACACGACCTGCCAATACCAACCATTCATATACTAGAGCTCTGATCATTTTCAATAAATTCACTTCAGAATTTCTATTCATTAATCTGTACTCAAATCGATACCATGGTAATGTTCACATCCTTTTGCCACTTCAACCTTAAATTATACGATAAAACTACTTGGAAACAACATTTTCGGATCATGATTTTAGAATAGGCGCTGCTTCTGCAGTCACTAGTGGAATATCGCAGTGCACTTCATCAATGGCTGGGATAGGGGAGATCATCTGTTTTCACCAGATGCATCCCTCAACTGGAGAGGGAATTGAGGCAGCCATTTATAGTATTGGTTACAGAATGTCAAGACGTATTAACGTGTTAAACTTTTGCCCTCTTTTTACAGTCCTACCCTAATGTCTGTTTCGGCACACCACCACTAATATAACTCGGCTCATTGTCCCGTACTACAAAAAAATAAAAATTATATATATATATATATATATATATATATATATATATATATATATATATATATATATATATATATATATATATATATATATATATATATATATAGTGGGACCTTGTTTTACAATCCTTGGTTTACAATTTTTTTTCGCAATACAAAGCAAGTTTACCCAGGATGCATTGAACCTGGGAGGTTTATAGCACCGCCCCTTGCATGCTGGAGCCTGTGGGTAGCACATGGTGTTGAGTGTTGAAGTAGCTTTTGCATAGAGTTTTGGATCCATTCTGAAAATGGTCTGCAGTTCTTTTGGCACTTTTTGGTGCATTTCTCAAGTTGTGGAAAGGTGTGCCTTTTATTTATTGTGGGTTGGTTTCCATACCAGCTCATTTTTACTTTTTTTCTGACCTCCAGAACGGATTAATTGGTTTTCAATGCATTCCTATGGGAAACCGTGTTTCAGTTTCCAAATTATTCGCAATTAGAAATGTTCCGGAGAAGGCATTATGTTCGTAAACGGGGGGGTGTGTGTGTGTGTGGGGGGGTGTGTGTCTAGAATGACATTAAGCAAGTTTACATACCCTTTTTTTGTTCCATTTGATGTCATTCTATTATGCAACATTAAAATAACCAACACTAATTTGTAAGTGGATACCATAAATTTATTTCCTGTACAACAGGCAAATACAGAAATGTTTATTTGATTGTATGGCATATTGTACAATTTATTATGATATGTACTAAATGCACACTACTTTTATAAATGCATCTCATGCGAGATCTGCTGAAAAATCTAAATGTTTGCTAGCTACAGTGTCATTTTAAGAAGTTGGAAAAACTATAACAAACTTACCCGCTTGTCCCTCTGGTATCTTTTGAATGGCATCCGCTTGATGGCAGCTCGGTCGGCAAAAGGTTTCACTTTTGGTGACCCTGTACTTATATCTGTCTAAAACCAGAAATTCGCCAAATTGAACATGCTCATTGCGTTTCAAGGGGCTTCCCTGATTAGACCAACTAAGACGCTGCAAGTGGATGCAGAGACACTGCGGGAGCTAGGGAGTAAACAAAATATTGGAAAGGAAGTTACATGCTTCTTTCCTACAACCAGCCACAAAAGCACAACCATTTACAAAACTAATCTTACCATATACATCTTATTTTCTCATAAATGAACAGAAGAAATGTGACTCAATATGATGTCATAGTAACCATTCTGCTTAATCTTACTTTACTCCAAGTTAGGATTAGAGCTGTAAATGATGCTCTTACCTTTCCTAGTTGCAGCTGTTTAACAAATGTTGTCTTCCGATTTTCCACCAATTGCCCATTATGTCTCTCATTAGCTTGAATCTGGAAATGTTTAGAACACATGCATTGGTGAGAATACAGGGTGCTGTAAACATATGCACATAAACCTACTAGTTGTATTTAATATCTACGATTGTGTGAAATTCCAGAATATTCAAAGCGGTGAAATTAAAATTTTATATCAGTGTCAAACGAAGTTAGAATTACCCCTTTAAATAAATAAAAAAATTAAAAAAAATAAAAAAGTCATACTGGCCTAAGGTGTTGTCATCTGGAAATTTCGTACTGGAAAAAGATATTTATAATTTTATAGATTTTTTTTTGCAATTATTTTATTTCAGATTGTATTGGTTAACAAAAACAGACACTATACAACAAAATAAGAAGGAATCACACTGTGGGTGTGGGACCAGTTCCAACACAACAATGGCCTACGACACAAATTTCACCCTAGGTCACCAGTGACGGCATTAGGGGCCATATTTCCCTGGCTGTCCATGGATTTATGGAATAGGTTGGGGGTCACCTCAATTGCTAGCGTATGCAAAGAAGGCAAATTGATGCCTTTCCCAGAGTTGCAACAAGTGTTTAACCTGCCCAACTCCCAGGTTTTCCAATACCTCCAATTACAAAGCATTATTTCCATTCACGTGCAAACATAAATGGAGCTAACTACACCACACAGTAGAGATGTGGTGGACATATACGACAGGTGCTGGAAAACACAGATAAAACCTAAAGCTCTGTCAGCCTGCTATCATACTCCCACTGCCCAATAATGAGCCAAACAATTTAATATCAATGCCATATTTAAAACAGCATATAGAAAACCATTTTCTTGATGACTACAACTTACTTTGGTGCAAAATTCACAGACAACATCCTTAACCAACTCAGTAGATATGAAATGCTGCAAGCAATGATCCAGTGTTATAGTACGTCCCTAAAAAATAAAAATAACAATGTAACTATGGCAAAAGGGGTTAATAATCCTATCATTTATTTTTTCATTCAGGTATAGCATCCTTCAGAGGTTCATAATCAACCTCACAGGTTTCTCATACTTTGGAGGGAGAAGGGGGCATGTTTTTTGGGTTTTAGTCTATTGCTTCCCTAATAGGAACAAAAGGTTTTGAATTGTAATACAAATATTTACTGGAATAAATTCTTATTTTATGCAAACTCAGTTTTCCTACCTAAAGTCTTGTTGCTCTTTTTTTTTTGGTTGTGCATAGATATTGCAAACAGGCTTGACATGCCAACAGCTAGGGCAAACATTTCAAGATATAGAAAGTCAGTCATATGGCATTTGATAATACTGCACATTTTTATGAAATAAAATATTGTGTGACAAGAGAAACAGACTTATCTTACATTTTGCTAGAATGAGTGCTGTATCGGCAGAGCACGCAGACGTGTCACTACATTAGATATAGCTGATCACAGCTTATAAACGTAGCGTGAGTAACATGAGAGTACTATACCGGGGTGTATCTGTGCCTGGTGTCTATCGCATCAAAAAGCAAGGCATATTGAACTAGTATGCAATAAGAAGATTAACAGGAGCACTGTATGAGGGTTCAACAGCTTGAAAGAATAAATGAGTAACATGATAAAAGTGTTAACAAAACGACTTTTGTCGCTTGTGTGCAACTGGGTTTACTTTCGCCTAGGTCAGAGTCCTTGTCATGAGACTTCTTTCAGGTGGCAGCCAGCTCTCGAAATCAGAAAGTCAGCCAATATCCTGACTGGGCACCCATGTGCGTGTTGAGCACTGTAGTTTGCCTTGCTGCGATTCAGAGTTGAGGCACTCCCCCATACCCCAGGGCTGTTCCAGAGCCGGCACCATGTTTCCACAAACTTGGAGTCTCCCTGCAACCAAATTCTTCCCATCTAGGAATTTGCAGAAGGCTTTACTGTGCTTGTGTATTATATGAAAGAGAATGCACACCAGAACCAAAAATAAATTAATTTTTATATATATTATACACACACACAATTATTTAATGAACCAACAATTGGTTAAACATGTCTGTTACAAAAAAATATACAAAATGACAAAAAAACAGGGAAAAATTAACAGTAGTAATTTACCAGAGTTCTCACAAGCCTATTAGGGCAGAAACACGAATCAAAATAACCCCCCAACGTTTCGGCACCAACTGGCAGCCTTTTTCTTGAATTAAATAATTGTGTGTGTGTGTATATATATGGTATATATTTGGTTCTGGTGTGCATTCTCTATCATATAATATTGATGTTTATGTTGGTACTAGAGGGAGTACCAATGGGGAATAGCACCCAGGTTGATATTGTCTTTGTCTTTATATAGTCTCTCCATACCTTGTTTTTGTTTGTTAAAAAGAAAAACACAAAATGTTTGGGTTTTTTGCTTGACACTTACTTTATTAAATTATTTCTTGATATTTGCAATAAATTTAACTTGCTGAATAAGGTGCTTATGCGCACAAATTACGGTTTCAATAATGAAAATATGCCATTTAATGACCAAGCTAGGATCCAGACATGTCAGGTCAGAGCAGGGCCACAAAATACAATAGCTTAAAAAAACAAAAAACTACAAAGAAATTAAACTGTTGGATTGTGCAGAATAAGTTAGATCAGTCTTTGCTTAACTTTCATAGGAATATAATGTGTTTTATTATTAAAGTGATCTTACAAACATATTTCTTCAAACTTAGGACTGAATGCCATATAATAGGACATTTTATTTTACTTTTAAATTAATACAATTTCAGATCAGACTATGCAGTAGAGACGCCTGCAGAAACCATATGCACATTGTTCATATTATACAAACAGCCTTGCAGCACGGCTACATAACATGGCTCATCGTTTATTTCACTTACCCACGTTGTAGCAGGAATGCTTAAAGAAAGACTGTCAAATGTATCATATCTCATAGGACTCTGAAAGAAAATGGGTGTTTATTACCTTTTTAAACTTGTCAATATATACACAACTACTACACAACACGAGCACTGGTTCTGGGGCAATTAAACTGTCCTTGCAGTGTTAGCGGTGCAAACACTGCCTTTTCTTAGAAAAGACTGGCACAATGTGGCGATTGCTGTGCATGAATAGTAGCTCCCCCCCTTACCCATGGTGTAACATTGGATTGGCTGAAATCTTCAGTAATAATGATCTCAGGCAGAGGAGCCAGGGCTACACGGCACACTGGGGTGAAATAAGTTAAACTCTTTCCTTTAGTGATACAGCTGGCACCCAGTAATGTAAACAGATAGTGTAACACAAACAGGATACATGCTTGCATCCCTAACATTAGAGTGTTCCTTTAAAATGAATTACTATAATAATGAGTCTGTGGAAACCATTCATAATTTCTCCATCACAATGTACAGGATTCTGGCTTACCTGGTTCTGGCAGCGCTTGCAGATCATGGTACTCGTGAGTCTTCCATGAAAGGGATGCTGAGATTTCCAGTGATTTGGAATGGGACGAAGAATTCCTTAACAAGAGAGATGTGCATAATAAGAGTATTCATAGTTTAAATATTTAATCTTTTGTAGATGTACAAAATTTTACATCCAATTCCAGATAGTATTTTCTCTTTTGTGAATCTAGATGTACTGTGTGAGAGCACATGCAACTTTATAAAAAATATTTTACATTTACCAGGAAATTAAATGAGCATAAAAGAGGCAACAAGAAAAACTATCTACCTTGTGTTCGGCAATGGATCTTTCCTTCAGAATTCTGTGGAAGTACCTTTAAAAAGAAAGTGCACCAAACAGTATGGAACATAAAGATTTACAATAGCAGGCAGCAAAATGGTTAATAAATCAAACACTTATGGATAAATATTAAGAAAATGTCAAGCATGCTGATAATACAGTTATGCGAAAAAATAGGACACATAAAGATGCCGACAAAGAAGGACAATCATTGCATGGAATACTTAAAGATGTTTCCCCAAGACGTGAATTCAGCATAGACGTTCCTCAGGTGAACATCAGGGTAAATCACTGGACTGAGTTTGTGGATATGTTATCATAGAAAAATAGAATGTGACAGCAGATAAGAACCAGTCAGCCCATCTAGTCTGCCCAATTTTCTAAATACTTTCATTAGTCCCTGGCCTTATCTTATAGTTAGGATAGCCTTATGCTTATCCCACGCATGCTTAAACTCATTCACTGTGTTAACCTCTACCATTTCCGCTGGAAGGTTGATATTTTTAAACCTTTGCCCCTATAATTTAAGACTAGGTCTTGTTGTGGTAGTTTTTCTTCTTTTAAATATAGTCTCCTTCTTTACTGTGTTGATTCCCTTTATGTATTTAAATGTTTCTATCATATCCCCAGTCTCGTCTTTCCTCCAAGCTATACAAGTTAAGATCCTTTACCCTTTCAAGTTTTATCCGGCAATCCATGAACCAGTTTAGTAGCCCTTCTCTGAATTCTCTCTAAAGTATTAATATCCTTCTGGAGATACGGTCTCCAGTACTCCGTACAATACTCCAGGTGAGGTCTCACCAGTGTTCTGTACAATGGCATGAGCACTTCCCTCATTCTACAGCTAATATCTCTCCCTATACAACCAAGCATTCTACTAGCATTTCCTGCTGCTCTATTACATTGTCTGCCTACTTTTAAGTCATCTGAAATGATTACCCCTAAATCCCTTTCCTCAGATGTTGAGGTTAGCAGGATATCAAATATCCTGTACTCTGCCCTTGGGTTTTTACGTCCAAGATGCATTATCTTGCACTTATCCACATTAAATGTCAGTTGCCACAACTCTGACCATTTTTCTAGTTTACCTAAATCATTTGCCATTTGGCTTTTCCCTCTTGGAACATCAACCCTGTAACATATCTTAGTATCATCAGCAAAAAGACATACCTTACCATCAGGACCTTCTGCAATATCACTAATAAAAATATTAAAGAGAATGGGTCCAAGTACAGATCCCTGAGGTACCCCACTGGTGCCCATACTTCGACTATACTACATTGACTACAACCCTCTGTTGACTGTCACTCAGCCACTGCCTTACCCATTCAACAATATTGTAATTCAAACTTAAAGATTGCAGTTTATTAATAAGCCTTCTATGTGTAACAGTGTCAAAAGACTTACTGAAATCTAGGTTAGAGATGTCTACTGTACCACCCTGATCTTTTTTATAGTTACTGAATCAAAAAAAAAAAATCAACGAGATTAGTTTGGCATGATCTCCCTGATGTAAACCCATGTTGTCTCTGATCTTGAAATCCCTGTGATTTTAGATGTTCAACAATCCTATCCTTTAACATGGTTTTCATTACTTTCCCCACTACTGAAGTAAGGCTTACTGGCCTATAGTTGCCTGACTCCTCCCTACTACCTTTCTTGTGAATGGGCACAACATTCGCTAACCTCCAATCTTCTGGGACTACTCCTTTTAACAATGATTGGTTAAATAAATCTGTTAATGGTTTTGGTAGTACACCACTAAACTTTTTTAATAACTTGGGTGTATTCCATCAGGCCCCATCAACTTATTTGTCTTTACTTCTGACAGTTGAGATAGAACCTCTTCCACTGTAAACTCACATGTAACAAATTACTCATTTGTCCATTTTCCTAACTGAGGACCATTTCCTTCACTCTCATCTGTAAATACTGAACAAAAATGGTAAAGCAACTCTGTTCATTACATTGTCCAATGCACACACACACATACTAAAGAAACAACACATGTGTGTGGGGCATTGCAGTGGAAAGCTTACATTTTTGGTGCCTGTGCTGCAGGTAAAATCCTTGTTCCGATGGATTCCCAAATATATAAAAGAAATGAAACCTCAGCACTCGGCAAGGAAGGTATTGATGGTTTATTCAGTTACCCAAAGAGGCAAGCAACATTTCAACACAATAAGTGTTTTTATAAAAGCTTGAGGGGGCTTAGCAACTGGGTGACCTTCCAAGCTTCAATCCAAGTACCTGTCAATTCTATGTCTGTCGCCTGTCTGAATAGTAGGTTTGTGTAAAAGAAATAAAACCTCAGCACTCAGCAGGGAAGGTATACTGGCGATTTATACAGCTATCCAAGAAGGCAGATAACATTTTACACAAAGGTAAAAATTTACAGATGAACAGATATGTAGGAAATAGTGAGACGAAAGGTTGTGCCCAATAAATAGGAAAATGCCTGCTGTCTCCCTATATAAATCACTGGTCCAGTAATTAGAGAGGCCCTGCTGGGATGCTGCTGTGTTGCCGCACTCCTGCCTTCCATTTTTCCCAAGGGTTTATTTAGGTCTGCCAAAGATGATGTGATGTCACAATGTTACATAAAACATATGGAATGGGGGTCATATTAAAGTGACGGGCATCATCTACTCACAAGGAGTGAAAGTTTGAATGAACAACAGTGTCCTCTACAGTATGGGCCTCATTGTTAGGGAGAGCAGACAATCTGGAAAAATTATAACAAAATGGGTCTCCACGAAGGTGAAGTGATGCCACCGTGAGTTGACCATGGTATTAAACCTACTACAAAGGGCTGAGCAGACTGGAAGCTGGGCAGACAGGAAACTGGTTCCTTAGTAAGATTAGGTGATTGTACAATGTGGTGGCTGGACCAATACAGCTTTCCAACGTGAAATTTATATGCTTTGTAATTCAAATAATATCTGATCTTCCCAAACATTTAGACCATATAATGTATTTCTACCATTTCTTATGTAAAAAGCCATATTCATAAAAATGATCTTTTAAAATAGACACAGTCATAAACCAACATATTTATCTGTGTCTGTGTATTTGTTGTTTTGAGGTTGTTTCTTCTTTATAAATGAATATTGGTGAGCAAACACATAAAAAACACACTTACGCTTACCTCAAGAGATTGGACATCAAACAGATTAACTACTTGAGGTTCACGGTCTCTCTCATCTTCTAGTGATGATGTTAGCACATGGAACAGTTCATGAGCATCCTGCATAGGTACAAATAAGAGGTTCAGAAAGCTCTGTTGATTTGTCTTTTCCAAGAGCAGGAAGCTAGACCTCAAATTTTTCTGTGATGGTACTGTAAGTCCTAGCACGGCCTTGCTTTGTTCTATAGAGATATCCATCTTCTCTGGCAGGAAAAGACTGGATGTGGCATCTGCACCTGGGGTTTCATGGTATGTTGTAAAACCGTACTAAATTACCATGGGAACAATGTATTCACCCTCAAGTATTTCATTAACGGGATTTTGCAGTTCCCAAATGCAGATCACAAATCTCTGCTAATTTCATAAACAACTATACTGTTTTTATCCCTCTATGTCAGACAGCACAACACTTGCCAAAAAATAAATAAAAAACAAAAACTATATTTTACTTACCATAAATGTAATTTTTCATAGTTCAAGATGAATTCATTACAAATGAGTGGTTGCCCGTTTAAAAAACAAAATGCAGTCCCAATCCATCCTAGCCTTACAAAGGCTAACAACATGAATGTTACATTTTATTTTTTGATCCATAGAAGAAGAGGGAGAGAAATCATGATTACTGCTTGGATTATGGAAAATTACATTTACTGTAAGTAAAATTTAGTTTTTCCACACAGGCATGCAAAAGTCATCATAAATGGGATATAACAAGCCACGACACAGGAAGACAACTTCATATAGTGAATACACTTGTACACAGACAAAAAATGTTTTGTCCAAATCAATTCATCAGAAAATAAAAAAATGTTTTTGCAAAAATGAATTGCATCTATTATTTGGTTTTGAATTTTGTTTGCATAATTTTACTTCAAACAAAATTTGGAAAGTCTCCTACTTTTAACCTCTGTCTCATTTCCAATTTGCAAAACACCCAGCCACTATTGTCCCCCAATCCACCGACGGGTTGAATTTACAAATAAAAGCCTATGTGTTTTATTTATTTCATCACCATATTAGTATAAGGGAGATTTTAAAGCTCAATCTTGCCTCATCAGTCCAGTGGCTGCTCATGGTCACAAAAGACTAGCGAGTTATTGCTACCAGGTCATATTTTATATTGGTCTTTACGGCAGCACCACTACTGAGAAATGCATGTTCTGGATGTTCCCGCAATCCCCTTTTTTTCCATGCACACTACAGACTAAGACAGTAATGGAAAACTGTAATAAATAAATAAAAATTTTCTTTAAAAGGACCACTTAAATATGATTGGTGTACCATTGTAGTGGCAACAGCCTATTTCATACAAAAATAGAAAGAAAATGAAAGTGATTGACGCATCCGTTCCCAGCTGATTACTCTGATCACAATCTGATTGAGGACATGCAGGTATACCATTCAGCAGTCTGTAGCCTTAGAAACACCACAGCTGAGCGCAATCGCTCAGCTGCGGTGTACTCGATGGATGAAGGGCTGTATGCAGAGCTGACATTCAGCACTGCGTACAGCTCATTGGTCAGTCCGTGACCACTAAAAAAAAAAAAAAATGGCCACAGCTGACAGAGGGTATCCATGGATACCTGGGTCTCCTGGTGTGAGGAGGGATTTAACCCTGCTGACATTGCATTGCTGTCTGTGGGAATTTATATTCCCACTTAAAGAGCTGTGTAGACACGTTATAACTTCAGTAAAGTGTTAAACTGAAGTGGGGGAAAAAAAGCAGAAAAAAAAAACTGGGGAATTTATAGTGAAGGATAGGAAGGGAGTGGGGGTTGGGGACTGCATTTTGTTGTTTAACCTTTTTAATGCTATTTGTCCTGTGAGTCAGGGAAGGGCAAATACCCATTTGTTATGACTGCCAATTGGACATTTGTAAAAGTATACTTCAGATAATATATATTTTCTCTACATTTGCTAGTATACCTTTAAGATGATTAACACACACACACCCCTAAATGGTCTATTTAAAGACAAAAACACAGCAAGCTGCGTAGAACACAACCTTGTGAATGTGGTAATAACTAATTTGTACCACTAACAGAGACATAGATATGTATTGGGGGTTTCCTGTGTAAAAGCAATTGCATCTAAATGATTTGTTGACAGGATCACAGACCGGATTTCGAACTGCTGTGTGGAAAGGAATGCAGAAAAGGTACATTACTAACCTGTTCTTCAAAAGAAGAGATCTGCCACCTATACATTCGTAAGACTTCCAAGAGGGAGCTAGCATCCAATGTATCATCATCATCTGCAGCCTCCTGACTAGACAGTGCTAAAGAAGGAAGCCAGTTAAAATCAGACACATAAATGGAATCTTACAGTGTCAAACATTCAAATATTTCATGGTTTACATCCAGCTATCAAATAAATAATTAGAAGAAAGAAAAAGAATAATATGCTACATGCAGTTCCATCCAAATGTGCATATGTACAAATATCCTCATCAGTACTGTATTCTACAAACAGACTTTTATTTATGCAAGTCAAAGGGAAAAACACACAAATTTATTGTGCTTAAAAAGTTCCACTATTAATATTAAAAAAGCAAGTACGTCAACAAATTGAAATACATCCCGAATTGAAATCCTCTTCTATTGGATGTTTTAGAATAGGTTCAGGGGAGAGTTAACAACAAGAAATGACTAAAAAAAAAAAAAAAAAGTGCTAAACTAATTCTCTACTACAATGGATCAAACTTTAGAATTAAGGGTCTACAAACAGCTGATTAGGATCTGAGCTAACTCGGGTGCACTGCAGAGTTTTAAATGGAAAATGCTACTCTGTGATTATTTAACCTGTTTGAATAATGAAATACCATAGAATTCTATTGCAGAACATGTTTCTTTCTTTCCAGGTATGGTGTTTAATATTCAGGTAAGATGTGTATTTACTCTTGTGCTTGTGAATCTGTGTTTTGTTCATAGTAAACAAAGGGACTATTCACTAAAGTGAGCATTGTTGGGAATAAAAAGTAAATTTCACATTTAGGCCAAAACAGCTGAAATAGACGAATAATTAGAATTTTTTTTTTTTTGTTTAGTTTGTTGTTATTTACTTTTTTCATTTTCATTATCCACATGGTACAGGCTTTAATCACGTATACGGTTCCATAAATATCGTACTGTTGGTTAGAACAAATATATGACTCCAATTCTATTATTGCAGATTATGTACATAATATTAAACATCATGTGTGGGGTGCAGGCTAGGGAATAGAGCCTTAGTTGTGAAACTTCAGTCAGTGTGTACGTTTCTTCCCTGGTAACACCAATCTATTACTTGGTTAATCCGTTATTTAAATATAAAAAAAAAAATAAAAAAATTAAATGGCCCCTAATGGGGGTGCCGCTTTCCGCACCTGCTATATGAACGGCAGTTCGATCGCTCTGTATGCAGTGAGATAAACTAGCTTCCCGATGAAGTGCTGTAGTAATTGGTGAGAATGAAGATTGCATCATATAGGGTTTCCTGCCTAATGTGAGAGTGGTTGCTTTCCACTCCCTGCTTCCATCACAGTGTGCTATGTCCCAGCATACCATGTTTCCAACAGTTATGCCAATATCTTCATGGATTATTGAGAACGTAAATTCATTTGGAATAATAATCCGCATGCGGCAAACCTGGTGCTCTGGCGTCGTTATATAGACGACATCCTTGTTATATGGAAGGGGTCTGAAGAACAACTACTAGACTTCTTCCGGTATCTTAATGACAATACCCTCTCCTTAATTTTTACTCCAGTTTTTAGTTCCATCTCTATTGATTTTTTAGATCTGACCTTTTTTATTGAAGATTCTCAAATCCTAGCTAAAACATACTTCAAACCCACCGATACCAATAGTTTTATTGGATCAAAGAGTGGCCATCATCCTAAATGGCTAGCAGGAGTCCCTAAAAGCCAATACACCCGACTTAGACAAAACTGTTCCAATATAAATACTTATGTAGAACAAACCGAAAGTTTAACTAAAACATTTGTAGAGAAGGGATATGAAAGAGAATCATTAGATATTGAGGTCAAAAGAATAGGAAAAATCAAAAGAGGAGCTCTCTTAGTGGATAAAGTTAGAACCACCAATTCAGATAGATCATTTGAATTCTCATTTAAAACTCAATATAATTCGAAAACCTTCGCTATAAACAAAATATTTAGAAAACACTGGAACATACTTAAATATGATGAATATATATAGGCCCTCAACTTCCAGAACATCCCAAAATAATTTATAGAAAAGGAAGAAATCTCTAGTTTTCTTGCACCAAGTCTTTTTCAGAAGAAGACAAACTAAAACTAATAACTTAAAGGGATTCCACACTTGTGGAATATGTAAAGCATGTAGGGGACAGCCGTCCCATATGTATTCCTTTTCTAGTTTTATTACTAAAGAGAAATTTCAAATTCAGGGATGAATCACTTGTTCCACCACACGTTGTGTACCTACTCACATGGGGGTGTGGTGCACAGTATGTTGGGAGGACAGTGAGAAAAGCCAAGACTCGTTTCTTGGAACATAAGAACAACATTAATAAAGGGATGTTAAATCATTCTGTTCCGGTTCATTGCAATAGGTGTCCACTTTTTGATTCCCATAATTTTTCGTGGGTTGTGATTGAACAAATATCACTGGGTGTAAGGGGAGGTGACATTGTTATGAAACTTAGACAAAGGGAAGGATTCTGGATACATAAACTAAAAACCCTTCAACCTTTTCGGTTGAATGTGGATTTTTATTTAATTTGTTTTCTTTAAATTAATATAAATATATATATATATATTTTTTTTTTTTACTTTTACTTTTATTTATTATTTTATTTTCATTATTTTTTTTATTTGTATTTTTATATTTATATTTATTTTTCATATTTGTTTTGTTTCATTTTTATTCTCATTATTATTATTTTTTATATTATCTTTATTTTATTTTTTTATATTTATTTTATTTCATATTTCATTTTATTATTATTATTTTTTTTTTTAATATATTGATTTGGATTTAATTGTGGGCTGTAACTATGACTTCATTCACTAAATTTCCAGAAATCACTCCCTTTCTGTTAAAAGTGTTTAAAGAAGATATTATGTTTATCTATATGTTTATTTATGTTGATTATGTCCATTTTTAGTATATTGACTGTTTCCATCTTTAATATGATTATAACATGAGTTATCTAAATAATTAGTGCAATATCTACTATGTAGCTTGATTTTAATACATCTAGTTTTTTATGCCGACCGACGAAACCGGAGAAATGGAACCCATATGCGTTCCACACGCATATTGATGATGTCTTCTAGGGCCGACGATAGGTGGAACGCATATGCGTTCCACGAAGATGGAACGGAAGTCCATATATGGACATATACTAATGAACAACTGAAGACAGATGATTCCAGCGTAATTGATTGGCGAAACAAACGGAAATTCGACGAGAGGGACATTTAAAAGCAATTGTCGATGTGTGATAGATTGTAATTCTTGATTTGATTTATTGCTGCTGTATTTGATTTTTTAAATTTGTTTGCTCCAGAGGAAGTCTACATTTGAAGTAGACGAAACACGTTGAGAGCTTTTATTTCTGTTTTTTACCTCACCTTTTTATCACCTGGAATAGAGGGATACAGAGATTTATTGATGAGCATTTCCATTTTTTACTTCCTGTAAGTGTATTCAATTAAAGTGTGTCTTTATACATTTTAAACATTGCTGTACTATGTCCTGTTTTTCCTCTCTTGGCATGCATCCCTGGATATTGAGAATCTCTACAACTGAATACTTAAAGAGATATTGATGGGCTTGAAAAATCCGTAAATCTTGTGAGTGCATCACTATTATTGGGGGGCCATTTTTCATTATATGGTGTTGCCCTATGAATCTCTTTTTGCCTCTGTTTTTTTAGGTGTATCTTGTATTTTACATTTGTATTTGAGGATTTTGAGGAGTCCTTTGTTACGACCTAAAGTATAAGGGAAGTAATTACCTTTATTTCAATTTGTATTGCTGCACCTGGGTGATAGAGATATAGATAGATATAGAGATATATATATATATATATATATATATATATATATATATATATATATATATATATATATATATATATATATATATATATATATATATATATTACACACAATTTATCATGTTTCCAGCAGTAGCTGAGGCTTAAATTTGAAATTATCTTTGAATTCCCAACAATTTTCACTATGGTGAATAACCCTGTAAGGTGCATATTTTCCATTAACTGAAACATTATTTGGAGTGGCAGGATTTGATCAATAGCCCCCACTGTAACAGGAGTTATGTGGCTATGGATTTACTCATTTCTCTTTCAACATATCAGAGTTTACCAAAACCACTGTCCTGTTCACAGGGATCAAATTCAGAAACTGCACCACTGCCTCAGTGAAAGGAGCCCTCTGTCACAATGCTTTCAGGTTTTGTTTACAAACAAAATAACCATATAATGATACAATCTGCAAGTAATACATCACTGTTTTTTACCTTTCAGCAGTTGCAGCAGTGTAACAGAGAGGTAGCGATGCTCTATTCGGCCCATTTCTGTTCGGTATTTTGATGTAAATTCCTCCAGCCACTTAATAAATGACGGACAGGCTGACAAGCCTTGGAGCAGAGAATTCATAAAACAGGTGTTTCCCAAATTTAGCAAGCCTGGCACTAGCCCTAAATGAATAAAATGGGATTAAATTAACAGACAAGCAAACAATGGTTTTAAATATTGCATCGTTACGACACAAGCATCACTACTCATGTGCATTCATCAGCTCTGGGAAATCATTTCCATAATAGTTGGCAGTGTAGACTTGACAAACACCCAATTTGCATGTTAGCTAAATTTCTTATAGATTGCTTGTGATTTTATTTGTCTGCCTCGCAACTACTTCCAGGTAATACCGTAAATGTATCCTATGCATATAAGCATGCACACCACAAGTCATGCCGTTCCAATCTTCTGCCACAGAGAACATGTGCCAAATACTAGTTAATGGTGTCCACTACAGTATATGGAGCAATGGTTACAGGTTAAAAATTACAGGCTAAATCTTACAGCTACCTACTCATTAGTATGCTTTAACATGCACAACATAAAAAAAATAAAAAAAATTTAATGCCTGAAACTAGTATTATAAAACATTTAAATAGTTAATTTGATCAAAATTGGCTAACGTTTTTTTTTTGTCAAGATATTTATATTATCTATTATATTCATGGTAATACAGTAATGTGTGTGTGGTTAATGTAATAATCTGATTAAAAATAATATATATATATTTTCCCAAAATTGAAGCTGCCTATTTGTGTGTAGATCACTGGGACTCCCTCCCATTTCAGAATGTGAAGGCTTAAAGGGAAACTATAGTATTAGGAAAAGAAGGTTGTTTTCCTGGCACTATAGCTCACTATAATGCCCCTCAAGCCTACCCACGTGGTGCAAAAGGATTTTAAAACCCCTTCTGTCATTTACCTGAGTCCATCACCAATGTCCCTTGGTGCTGGCTTGGGCTCCGCTTCACCCACATTAGTACTTCCCCCATAGGAAAGCATTATACAATGCTTATTGTTTAGGGTGATGCTGGATGTCCTCATGCATAGCATTAGGATGTCCAACTTCAATTAGACGACAAAATGTTGCCTAATGATACATACAGTAAGTCCCTCTTGTGGCTATCTGGTAGAAACTGCAATAAATACCTTTGTAGGGTTAGGGGACCTGGGAATATGCACCCAGACCACTTCAATGAGCTGAAGTGGTCTGGGTGCCTATATCGTCCCTTTAAAAATCACAAACTTGCTTGTAATGCAGTGTTAGGAGAGTCTCCATGCTGCAGCTCCAATCCGCTTACAGTGAACTCATCATTTCTGATTAGCTGTCTGGAATTAGATGCGTCTCCATGGAGAAGCATTGACACACACACACACACAAGCTTCTCCAGGAAACAAAATGAAACTACAGTTCAAAGTGAATGAGACAGGAAAACTACCTGGATGGGAATTATAAAAGTGCAGATTGTTCTTGAAATTAGTACTTTTATCAAATATAACACAACAGCAAGCTGAAGGGCTTTATGGGAATGTGGTTTCTCTGTAACTAGTGCTACTCTTTCCCCACTCTAAATAAAATTACATTCATAGTCAGTATGTAAAATTACATTCAACAACTAAGAATAAATGAAAATAAACACGTAACAACAATTTAAACTGAATGTGTGACTAATCAGCTGTTTTATATGCTATTAACATGCCACCAAATTACAATAGAATTTAGTTAGTACTCATTGCCCTACTACATGTAAGCTATGTATTGTGCATCTATTGTCATTGGCTGTTGGGGCATGACTAAAAAGTGTGTATGTTTCTGCACTACAAAAATAAAGAATAAAAAAATTTAAAAAAAAAAAGAAGTTCTTGTGATACAATTCCCTGACAAAAAAAAAAAAACAGGGATATTGTAGCCATAACTAAATTGAACCCATAATTCTAAGCCTTCTCACATAACTCACAGGTCTTTTCTTTCCTTACAGCAACAGTCTCTAGTAACCAAGTTTCACACTGTATGTAAGTACAAAAACAGTAGAGAAATATCATACTCTATAGAAATCCATATCAAACAACACCACTGGGTAGTGTAACTTCTGTTAAAGAAATACAACAAACACCATACCAGCATCAGGAGTGCTGTAGTGGTTATGGTGTCAGCAGTACCCTGCACAGCTGTGAAACCAGAACTGAATACCTTCGAACTCCTCAATTCATGCTACCATCAACTCAGACTCCAGTGACCCAAAATTGCTTCCAACTCCACAACCCTGGTGCCCTGACACCCCGTAGTGTAAAGAGTCAAACCGGTTTCCATTTACTCCTTACCATTTACCTGGGGCCAGACTTGCCTCCAATATTGCTGACAGAAAGCCAGAAGCTTCCATTAGCTGTCATGACCTGCATTGCAGCTTAGTGGAGTTTTTACTTAAATCTGTTTTTCTTTTAGTAGGGAGATTTGCCTGTTCTGTTGGAATGTAGTAGAGTTATTTTCAAACTAATCCCTCTGCAGCAATAAGATTCTTTTGAACACAGCAGAAATCTGTTTAGCTTAGGGAGGGTTAAATTATGTCGATAGTAAATAATGGAGACATCAGAGGAATTTTATAAGCTAAATAAAAAAGGAGTTTGACAGATCAGATTCAGCATTTTTTAAATCTATCCTTACAGCTTTTATTTAAACCATACTAATGTATGCAAATGTCTCTGAAATAATTTTTTTTAATCAATTACATTAAATCTAAACTACATTATATCACAAACAATCTGTATTTAAAGGTGACAATATCCAAGCAGGTGGATTGTTCAAAAAGGTATCCAGTGGCATCTTTGTCAGTACTGACATCAGTATAAATTTGACCCCAGTTTACAAAGCTTAAATCAACCTGATCTGTTTTTCCCACCTTTTTTTCGTTTCTTTCTGTCTGTGATTGGACCCCACAGGACATATATCCCAGCTGCTAATGCTGCAGCAATGCCACCAATTAGACCCCAGTTCTTCATCATTTTACACCTGTAAAAATAAAACAAAAATGTTTCAAAATCACATTTTACCTAACTGGAAATAAGTTTTTGTTTTTTTTCAAATTCTGCAATAATGTTGCAATTTACTTTGAAAACTACCTAAACTGTAATAAGCACCCATTGTTTTCAAAATTGCTAACACTCATGGGGACAAGGGGTGTGACCAAATTACGCAATACCTACACAGGACAATGTTGGTGTTACAAGTAATTAAAAGTTAGTTTGGATTCCAGGAATATATGTGGGTCAGATATTTTTTGTAAAAAAAAAAATACAACACATAGAAAATCAGTACTTTCAAAAGTACAAAAACGTATTAAAATAAGTGTATTAACCAGTTATGGTAGACATTTTAACTCCTGAGCTCAGCTGGATGGACTACTGGTCCCATTAAGATTAAGCTAAACTGGCTGATGGGAATTATAGTCCGCAACAGCAGAAAGGCCAAAAGCCTCCCATTGTTGGCAGACAGGAACCAAGCCCTGATAAAAGCTGAGTGTGATAATAGCAGATAATGAGATTTATCCCCATGGTTTGTCCCCCTGGCAGCCTACCCCAGCATTATGACTGGAGACAGGCTGACACCTGCAGATGAGGCCTGTGTAACCTGCATGTTGTTTAAATGGCCTCCCTCTACCTCCCAATCCCCTCTACTCTCCTCACCCGCTGCTAACCTGACACCGGGCCCCCTCCTGAAGAAAGCTCCCACACTCCTGTCACCGCTTCTGGTTGCGCTGCTGAGCATCCCGCTCAGTACATAGAGCACCAAACGGAACCAATAGTTCGCGCTGCTGCGGCACCCGGACACCAAACGGGGAGCACCGGAAACAGACGCACGTGCTCTCCCATACAGAGGGCAGACACAGGGTGAGGGTGCTGGGTTGCCATGGAAAAAGGAAATCGTTGTAGTATTTAGGCCTTGGTGTTTACTGGCTGATTTAAACCAGTATGTAAATTAGTAGCATCAGTGATGTAAATCCATTCCATCTATTCTCACTCTTACAGCCAATACATACTGAGGTTTATTTTATAAATCGTGCTTTGTGAAGAACGGGAAATTGAATTGTACCTGAGCTCGAATGACGCAATTACAAATATACACTTACCACATACACCACCACCACCTTTTTATTTATTTAAAAATAATTTTTATTAAGGTTTTACCATCAACAAGGTAATAAAACATTTCAAAAATAGAGCATAAAGCGAAAACAAATGCCTTTACTAGTACTTACTTGGTGTTCACTTAGTTAAAGGGACACCATAGTGCTAGGAATATAAAATTGTATTCTTAGCAGAGTGCCCCACCCAATTGCACCCCATGCAGCAAGGGTTAAAAACAAGTTTGTTACTTACCTGAATCCATGGCCAATGTGCCGACGTCAGGACCTAAGGCGCATGCATAGTGAGTACCATGCTCGCATTAGGACCACCCCTTAGGAAAGCATTGTATCAATCGCCTAATGACCTGTAAATGTAGACAGCCACTAGTGGTGGAGGTAACCCAGTAAGGTAAATATTGTAGTTTAGCCATAACTGCAATAATTACAAGTGCAGTGTTAAACTAACAGGGGCACTGCACTGAAACCACTTCAATGTGCTGAATGGTCTGGGTGCCTATAGTGTCCCTTTAACAACACATTATACTCAAAATTTAATTGTTGTAAAGGATGAAGGAGGGGGGAAGGAAAGAAAAGAGAGAGAAATTCGATTAAGGGGACCTCACTCCCACTACTAGGTAGTAGATGAAGCTTTATCCAAGATGACCATGTGTTATAGTAGCATGGTAGGGTTTCCCACATTTGTGCTGTGAGTTATATGTCTATAACATTGGTCAGTATATTGTGCAATACCGCCTGAGAAGGTTGTGTCAGCTAGTTCCAATGTCTTACCAGTACTTTCCTGGCCGTTAGGACCACCACAGCTATTACTTTTTTTATTATTATTTCTCTGTAGCCCTTCAACTGGCCTAGAGAAAGAGAATGTCCATTGTATAAGTTTGTCTAAGGCTTGGCATAGCCATGCGGCCACTTGCCTCCAGTATGGTCTAGGCATGAGCCGTCCCACCATTGATGGTAGTATGTCCAAGCCTGGTCCCATCCCTCCAACACCTGTTTGATATAGTGACTTGCATGTGATGTAAGCGTACTGGTGTAAGGTACAATCTAAAGAAGGTGTCCCTGTTCTTTAAAGGGTGACACATATGGAGAGTTTAGTGTTAGCCTCCCAGATGTCTTGCCAATCCTCATGAGAAAGTTCCTCGCCAATACCTTAATGGCACCTCGTCATTTATTTGATAGGTGCATTTATGAGGGAGCCTAGGAGCTCCTTGTATATCAGAGAAATGCATCCTTTAGGGCAATGCTCTCTAATGGATGGCCATGGCACACCAGTGTGCCGCAGCACTGTGCTAGGTGTGCCGCCAAGAGCCACCATTAGGCAACCCATAGACTTTGCAGAGTTGCGCATCATGAAGAGTGGCAGGAGGCTCTCAGACTTCACCACTGTTGCTGGCCCAAGTTATGGCTTTTCAAGTGTTGCCATGGTTACCACAGCAATGCTCGATTCCACAGAGCCTTCACCTAGCAGAGCCTTTACCCAGCAGAGCCTTCACCCAGCAGATCCACAGAGCCTGGAGGTAAGGCTGAGAGCCTCTACAGCCTCACCAGACCACCAGGTAATATGCCCCCCCCCCCTTCCTGACCACAGGTAAAACTCTGTCAGGAAAGATTTTCTTTTAAATTATATAAAATAAAATAAAGATATAATACAATTAAAAACTTCATCTCTCTCAGCCCCCGCAAAACGTAGCCCCTATCCTACCCCACAAACTCTCTCACACTACACACATACAATTACTGTGATATTTATTAATGGGAAAACCTACTGTGATATTTATTAATGGGCAAACGTTCTGTGATATTTTTTCATTGGCAAACTTACTGTGGTATATATTAAAGGGACACTCCCGGCACCCAGACCACTTCTGCCCATTGGAGAGGTCTGGGTGCCAACTCCCACTACCCTTAACCCTGCAGTGTAATTATTGCAGTTTTTTATAAACGGCAATAATTACCTTTCAGGGTTAACTCCACCTCTAGTGGCTGTCTAGTAGACAGCCACTAGAGGGCACTTCAGTGTCTCTAGCACAGATTTTCTGTGCTAGAGTGTCACTGTCAGGTTTACTGTTTGATCCAGCACGTAGAACTGTACAGCACGGATGACAAATAAGTAACGTATTTCCGGTCCTTAGAATGGCCGGATTTAACGTACAAAGAATAGTCAAAAATACTAGCCGAGGTCAGGGAACACAGAAAGGGACACAGCGATGAGGAAAGCCAGGAGTCAGGATACCAGAATATAGAGAAGTCAATAAACAAAGCCAAAGTCAAAGTCAAAAACCAGGTAGAAAACTATAAACAGGAACGCGCTCTTGGACAACCACAAGGGAAACCACGACAGGGCACTGAGCAGGCTGAGAACTGGGCCTAAATACCCCTCCTTTAGTTCTGATAGGCTATAACCGGCCTTTGACCCCAAAGTCAGTTACCAGGTTTCATTTGCATAATTGCTGCTCAGCATTAACCCTTCTGTGGATTAGGTTGCTGCTCGGCACAACTTTTCCTGTGTGGGCAGTAAATGTCATTAATCACTTTTCTCTAAGCGGATGAATACATGACACCAGGTTTCATTTGCACAATTACTGCTCAACATTAACCCTTCTGTGGATTAGGTTGCTGCTCGGCACAACTTTTCCTGTGTGGACAGTAAATGTCATTAACCACATTTCTATAAGCGGATGAATACGTGACAGTCACTGGACATCCTCCCGCTGTGTGAGGACCTCCAGCATCGCTTAATTCCCCATAGGAAAGCATTGAAAAGCATTTTCAATACTCTCCTATGGGGAGGTCTAATAAGCATGTGCGGCATTGCCGCGCATGCGCATTAGGTCTCCCTGGCGGGCGGAATCAGTCTCGCCCACCGGCCGACGTAATGAAGAGGAGGAGCGGCGGCGGCCCGAAACCACCGCCGAGGGACATCGCCGGGGGCTCAGGTAAGTGAATGAAGGGGCTTTCACCCCTTCAGGGAGAGGGGACCTGCAGTGCCAGGAAAACGGATTGTTTTCCTGGCACTGGAGGGTCCCTTTAGTGGGCAAACATATTTATTTAAAAGAACTAAGATATATAAAAATATCTTCAATAGTTAATTGAAAACAAAAATATTATTTAACTTACAAATTCAAATTTAAAGCATTTTTACACAAAACAGAAAATAATAAATAAATAAAACAGAATTCTTCTTCTAGCCTTGAGATTCCCTTTAGATTGTGATTTAATTTTAAAACAGAAGAACCATGTTTAATGGGAAAACTGACTGTCATGTTCTGTGTATACAATGTATTACTTTATTTTTTTATACATATTTTAGTGTGTGCCATAGAATTCTGGGAAGAGCTATAATGTGCCTTGGGTGAGAAAAGGTTAAGGAGCACTGCTTTAGAAGACTGTCCCTGAAAACATTTTTCAAACCATGTGGGTCTCTTCGTGGTGGCCTGTAATATTTCAAGCTGTTGAACAATACTTTTTAATTGTAAGTATCTGAAAAGATCGCGACAAGTAAGTGTGGCTTCTTCTTTTAGCTCTAGGTATGTTTTAATTCGACCTTCTGAGACCAGGTCGATTTCTAAACAAATGTATTGCATTTTAAAGACACAGTACTGGGGCGGGGCTAGCACGCAGACCGAGACAGACGCCATTTTCTGGAGCTCCTGCAAACAAACCTCAAATCTGCCCGATATCAGCGGAACACTAGCCCATCCAGCCTCCAAAAGCATAAAATCGGACTCTGCTACCCGAGCTGCACGCGTCGATGCCCTTCTTACAGCCGCAAAAACAGCCTAAGCGGCGACGGAAAACCGAGGCCTACCACCCTCTCCAAATCCCCAGCCTCGCGTCACTGTTTGGCGGAGACCCTGCGGAACGGCCGAGGGCGTCCCCATCACAAACATCGCCCACCACACTCACCATGGGCCGTAAATCACAGAGACCCACCACAGGGTCGGATACCAGGGACATTGGGGCTCTACTCCAGAAACCCAAACACACTCAGGCCGTAGACCAACCGGACACAGAACCAGAACCGGACCGCCACGAGATGGAGGTACCACATCACCCCCAGGTGGTAAGACCCGCACAAGCGGACCCTCTGGATGAATCAGCCCCAACAACTAGGGGAGACCTGAAGGTTTTATTAGCTGATATCCACAAGCTCCTGGCTGCAGATTTAGCTGTATTTACAACACAGCTACAGGCCGTAACAGAGAGAGTCAAGGCCACAGAGGGGGCTATAGCAGATACACAATCTGCCATGCAAACCATGTAGGACTCTATCCACCAATTACAAACGCACCAGACTACCCTGAACGCAAAACTCATAATACTAGAGGATAGACAACGCCGCGCAAACATCAAAATAAGGGGTATCCCTACGGCAATATCCGCGGAGGAACTTCCCCACTACACCCGACGCCTCTTGACATCTATATTACCTCCCACGCTGGCCCGCAAAATCACAGTGGACAGTTTATATCGCATCCCCAATACCACCAACACTAATACCAACCTGAACAAATACATGTCATGTCAGCCGTGAAGGGCAAAACCCCTCTTTTATTTGAGAATGACACCTTGAACTTCTTCCAAGACCTCACTAAAGCAACACTGCTATGGAGGAAAACCTACGCACCGGTAACATCCCAACTACGCACGGCAGGACTGCCATACAGATGGGGAACCGACAACTCCTTAACGGTCACCGCGGAAGGAACTACGCATGTCCTCCACACCATGGCC